GTTGTTGTTGTTGTTGCTGTTGTTGTTGCTGCTGTTGTTGTTGTTGTTGGCTTTGCAATTTCACTGCAGCTTTTTGGTCGTCGGCGCATATCAAATAAGCCTAATAATAATGCAATTTATGCCAAAGCAAAGCGAAAAGAGCCACAAAATGACTTTTGACTTGCTCTATTTTGTATGCCCACGGTTAGACAGAGATGGAGCGAGAGCGACGACAAGAGAGAGAGGGAGAGGGAGAGGGAGAGAGAGGGAGAGGGAGAGAGAGGGAAAGGAAGAGTGTGTTTATAATAATGAGAGAGAGAGAGAGAGAAAGATGGAATTTTATTACAAAAGAGAGCAATTCGTATGTTTCAACAATAGCTAGACATATATAAATATATGTATGTATATAATACATAAAATATATTTATTTAATAGGTACTCGCCCAAAATATTTCGGATTTATACAAATCTCTTATTAGCCTCTCTCTCTCTCCTTCCCTCTCTTTCTCTATCTCTCTCTTTCTCCCTCTCTCTCTTTGGGGTTTAAGTTAACTAGTAAACTACAATTCATTAGAAAGCTAACAAATCTAAAAAATTCTGCATTAGGTTGATATAATATAAAACTTAGTCTTGTTAAATTGTTAAATTATTTTTAATGTAAAATGTAATGCAATGTTAATAAAATATAAAAATGTTTACAAAAAAAAAAAAAATAAATAAATAAATAAAAAAAATAAATAAATTGTTGTATTCATGAAACATTAATTTTGACCATTTACCATTTACTTAATGGTTTCTTGGCTATTACGCTTTCTGTTTTTTTTTTTTTTTTTTTTTTTTTTTTTTTATATATATATATTATTAATATAATCATTTTGTTTGATGTTTTTATAGTATTTAAAATGCGTACAGAGATTTGGCCATAACTATTGAGTTTTTAGATATTGAGATATTATAATTGCAATTAAATTTAAAACATTAATTAATCTATTAGCTATTAATCTTCATTGCATTCATGAACAACTATTTTTAAGAAACCGAACCGTTTTCTATAACGTTTAGTAATTTAAACGCGTCGAAAGCTTTAATTCAACTAATTGAATTTAAATTGAAGCAAAAAAAAATATTTATTTGAATAAAAAAATGTGATCATATAAAAATAAATAGACAGTAAATGTATCAAATCTTAATTGTTGTCAAGTCAGCCAGAAACAATATTTTATTTATTTTTATTCAATTATTTATATAAAGTTTTTTCATTGATACATATATTTTCTTGAATTTTATAAATAAGGTTTTTTTTTGTGTTTGTATTATTTAATAAGTATAAATATACAAAAAGTGTATGTATGTATATAGCATTTCAACATTGGGTGTATTTGGCTTCACATGCGGTTAAATTTTGAAGGATGATGGAAAACCCTGAGCGCGTGCACAGAAAAGTCCGCAGCAGTTGACAAGCTGTGTTGCAGTTGTTGCTGTTGTTGTTGTTGTTGTTGCTTTCTTGTTGTTGTATGGTGTGTTTTGGGAAAACCTTTTAGCACCTTTGGCCACAGCCGCAGCGCAAATCACAACAAGTTGCGCATCGCCGGGACCTGAGCAATTGGGAATTAGGAATTGGGCTGATAAGCTGGCCAAGTGGGCAAACAAAGCGTTTGCGCGTGCGCAGCGAGCTGAGTGTGAGTGAGAGAGACTCAGACTGAGGGAGAGAGTGAGTGAGATAGAAAGCAGGAGAGGGTAGAGCAACACCTACGGGCGAGCAAGCGGTTTCGCGGTTGCGTCTCAGGTTTGCTTTGGTTTCGGATTGGTTTGGTTAGGCTCGTGGTTGGGTTCGTGGTTGGGTTCGTGGTTATGTGGTAGTAGCGGCATCCTCTCATCTAAGTGCGATGTGGCTGCTTATCTGATCAAGCGCAGGACACGCGTGCGTCTACGTGAGTGTTCGTGTGTGTGTGTGTGTGAACTGTAGATAACAAAGAGGTGATAATTGACCGCCCTATTGGCTTAGCAACCAATTACAAAGCTTATCAGCTGCACTGCAGCAATCAAATCAAACAACGTTCGACGGGGCGGAGCAACGCCGGTGGTCTGCCCTGTTGCTGTGGTTGCTGTTGCTGTTGCTGTTGTTGCCCCCATCGATAGCCATCGATCGGTGTAAACAAGGCCAACAACAACAACAACAAGAACAACAGCAGCACACCCATGGCCAAGTGTGAAATGTGCCCGGGTCGTGTCGACTCGATCGCATTCGTATGCTAAATACCGAATGGACTCCCTCGCTTATCAGTTGTTTGCCTGGTCGGCAGGGTCGAGTGTTTGACGCACTGTCTCCTGGTCGTAGGCATGCACCAGCAATGCCACCTCCAGATTCAGTTGGGCAATGTCATCCTTTAGCTTGGCAATCGCCTTCTTAATCTGCTGCACAGAGCCTGCAAAGAGATGGTAAATCACATGAATAACTTTGATAATAGCAGGAGAGAGAGAGGGAGAGACAGAGAGAGAGAGATAGAGAGAGGGGAGTGGGAGTAAGAGTCATTAAATAAATATGCTATGAATCAGTTGAGGCTCTGGCTCAACTCACTCACTATTTCGACACATTGGTATTTCCCACTAAAATCACAATTGACAGCGAGAGGAATGCGAAGAGGCACTCTGAGAACATGTGAATTCGCTGAGCAATGAGTAACAAATTGTGTATCGACTTATTCGATTGGCTATCTTCTATGATATGCTATAAATAATAATGAATCATCGATTATTGAATCATAGAACATTTGAACATGAAACATCTGAAATTATTTCTAGAATTATATTTAAAAGGAGGCTCCAGAGCGAAGAGAGAGGGAGACAGAGAGAGAAATGCAAAAGCTACGGCTGAAAAGAAGGAGACGGGCATAGTGATAGCTATACGGGGAGTAATATAAACATATGAAAAGTAAAAGAAGTAATATTATATAAATGATAATATCAAATAAGAACAAGTTGATATACAAAAAGTTAGGTAAATAATAGCAAGACTTCAGTTTAAAAAAATAATAATAATAATATAAAATAAAAAATACATACATACATTAAAAAAATAATAATAATATTAATTCATTTTATTAAAAATTCTTTAAATTAAAAGAACTTATAAAACCAAGTTGATTAAAAAATTATTTCTTTTAATTCGTAAAAAAATATATAAATTGCAAAAATAATAATTATGAATAAATATAAATGGCACAACAAAAAATTTTATTTCTGAAAATGAATGAACATAATAAAATTTTCAAATAATTAGATCGGACTAATCAAACTCTCTCGTAGTTCATCTAGCTTCCATTCGTCTTTCAACCGCTCCAAATATAAGCCACATCGTGGCATACTCACTGCCATCGGACATGACTTGCCCGCGTCGTTCCATTTCCTGCTTCTTGAGCTCCTGCTCGGCCATCACCTCGCTGAGCTGGTTCATCTGCTTCTCGGACTCGTCCTGGATCTGCGTTTGGGCGTACTGCACGGTGGATAGCTCAATGGAGAGCTCCTTGTACTGCTGGATGAGCTGCTGGAGCTCGTTGTTCAAGTGCTTCTCCCGGCTCTCGATCTTCTCCAGGCTGAAGGTGAACTCGCTGTGGAGTTTCTTGAGCTGCGTCTGCGTCGTCTCGGCTACGTTGGCGATGCTCGTGTTGAGCGTCTCCATTTGGCTGATGTGGGTGCGCCAGTCGCGGGCGTCGGCCTTGACGAACACCTTCAGCTGCGGCAGCACGCGCTCCAGCTCCAGGCGCCACTCCTGCTGATCGTTGAGCCGAGCGCTCAGCTCGTCCGTCGTGCTGGCTGGCAGCTCGCCCAGGGAGCGATTCTGGCGATTGAGCCAGTTGAGCTGCTTGTAATGGTGCGCATCCAGCTCGAGATCGCTGTCGTCGCTGAGCGCAGCAGCATTCTGCTCATCCTCCAACTTCTCCAATATGATCTCCGCATTGTCCTCCAAATAGTCGCCCACGAACTCCTCCTCCTGGGCGATGTGCAGGCGTTGATAGTTCACTTTCGTCACCTTCAGCGCCTGCGTGGCCAGCACATCGAGCACCATGAGACAGATGGGTCCAGCGCCCCGTATTAGCTTATTGGGAGCAAAGTCCACTGGGACATCCTGCAGAGATTCAACTGCCTCCATTCCATACATTTTCAATTAGCTACACAAACTTACGATTTCCTCCAGTATTTGCATTATCTTTGCTATAACCGTATTGGGATCATCGTACTCCTGTGGCCGCTCCATTTCCTTGCCCAGCTTCCTGCACAGCCACCAGCAGATCAGGGTAAACATGAAGAATTGCTCGCCGGGATTCGTTGCCTTCAAAAAATAAAATCGCGAAAGAGGTTTTAATTTATATTCCCTCAGTAGATGTTTCTCATAGTTGAGCAGCTTCAGCTTCTCCAGCAAGTCGTCCGATTGAAAGTTTTGCAATTGTTGCGTTTTATCAGTGGCATCTTCCTGCATTTTATTGAAGCTCTTTTTCAAGACTGAAAAAATTAAATATGTTTGTTTGGGTTTGCTGATTTCCATGGAAACCAGATGGCCACTGACAAACAGAACATTTTCCCATGGAAGACTATGATGAATATTTATATATAGTAATAATAATGCTTTGGTGCACTGTTTGCAACCCAGTCATATATATTTGCAATGATTTTGCATTTGAATATATGCTAAAATTACAACTAAATTTGATTTGGCGCAAAATAAATACTCAACAGATGGCGCTAGTAAACAGTTGTCATTCACACGGACAAGTTGACATATTCATGTTGTCAACTTGTATAAGGTAGAAATGGTATATTCCCTTTGCGTACAATTAAAATTTTATATTTGAAAATTACACGCACATATTTTGAATAATTGTATTTTATTTGATATTACAGCACTCATCTTACTGTCTGCTTTAATATTACAGCACTCATCTTACTGTCTGCTTAGTTTTCTCACTTCGCAACTAATCGATACACCGCATAATAATATCGATATATATTGTCTATCAGCGCTATGTGAGCGTCGCTTTTGGTCAATTGATTCAAATTTTTGACGCCTTAGAGAAAAAAACGGATTGAAAATGTATAATAATTTAGATTTAAATGCTTTGACCATCGAAGACATAGTTGAAGAGTACAAGTTACTGCATGAGCGTCATAAGCGACTTAAGGAACGCAGCGAGGAGGACGCCCAACGCCTACACGAACTGAAACGCAGCCTAGACACATCCTTGGCGGCGGAAAGATATTTAACACAGGAGCTAGAGCATCTAAGTGCCCAATCACAAGCGTCATGTCCTACGCCAGAGCCGCGTATGCAACAAGAATTGGAGGAGCTGCGTCGTAAATACAAGAACCTGCAGCTGGAGCATGAAGCCTTGCAGCAGGACTACGATGCCAAGGTTGAGGATGCGGCCAGCCTCAAGGCGAAGCTGGAGAGCACAGTGCGCGATATGGAATCGCTTGCCTTGGTGAAGGCGAACAGTGTAGACGATGAAACCACATCACGTTTTAATGCACTGGAGCAGGAAAATGCAGAGCTTATGCATAAATTGGCCGAATATGAGGAGATTAAAGTGAAAAATACGTTTGCCGTAGCCGAGCAGGAGGTGAGTAAATGGATTATAACATCCTGTTGCTACAATCTTATTTTCCACTCAGAAAACAATTGAGATATTGAAAGATAAAATCGATTGCCTGGAGCAAAATCTGCGTAGCAAACGAGACGAACTCGAGGAGAAGCTGCAGGTGCTGGAGAGCACACAGGAGCAGCTGGTGGATGCCAATGCCAAAATAGCGATGCTCAGCAGTGCCCCGGAACACAATGGTTGAGTAGGCGAGTGGAGATCGTTGAAGTTTTATTTTTAATATAAATTGCTTGCAGATCGCAAAGGCAATTCACTGTTTGCGGAAGTGGACGATCAGCGGCAGGTGATGAAGCACTTACTGGCCAGCCAAAAGAAGAGCTACCTGGACATGAAGAAGATATTCAATGAGAGCAAATTCGAAATACATCGACTCAAGCGGGAGAACGTAGCCATGCACACTGAGCTGCAAGCATGCAGCACAATCTTCTGCAGCGCTGACAGAACCTATCAGAGTGAGCAATAGCTTGGAGAACTCGAATATATGACTCTTAACTTACTCTGATTCACTCTTTGCAGATAAACTGAATGAGCGCATTCGCAAGCTGTTGCAGCAAAATGCCAAACTTGAGAACGATTTGAATGTGACGCAGGAGCGCTTGCGCGAATTGGCCAGGCAGAAGTCGGTGACTTGGCTTGATTCCATGCTGGATTTCTGCAAGTATGAGTTGGCCGAACGCTTGGGCCATGCTGTGGCAAAGCTGTGCAATCATGTGCTTAGCTTTACCAGCTACAGATTGTTTTTATTGTGATAGGCCGTTATTAGGTTAGGCTGCGTTTAGATTTAGTTCATAACATTCCCATTCCATTTAGACGCGAAACGGACGAGCTGAAGACCCAATTGCACAGCCTGCACATCCAAAATGCCATGCTCGAGGAACAGTTGCGCAACATGCAACAGGACATGGCACGGTGGGTGCAAACGGTTCACCTCGTGAGCTCTTTTAACACACTTGTTTTTGTTGTTTAGCTGGCGCTTTGAATCGCTGAAGTCACGCTGCGTGTTGATCGATCGCGAGAATCTGCTGATGGAGCACAAGATTGCCTTTAAGCCCATGAAGGCCATGGAGTTCGATATCAAGGAAGCTGAAATAAAAGCTGCCTTGCCACGCATAGCCAGCGTCGCCGCCGCACCAGCCAACGTGACAACAAAAGCTGAAATTATTGTATTGGATACGCCGCTAAAGCCGCCCGCAGTTTGCGTCAATGTGCAAACCGATGTCATTCTCTTGGACACTCCGCTTGAGCCTGAGCCGGAAGCAAACCCTCGACCTGCCATTAAATATGCACAGCTCTCTTGTCCAATTAAAGTAAAGCGTGAGGTGATTGAGCAGCCATCCACGGAAAACTCGGCCCAACAGGAGCAGCTGGAGCAGGTCGAATGCAAAAAGGAGCCAGAGCAAACTGATGTAATCGAACCGTTGAGCGCTTCGTCTCCGTTAATTAGCACTCCTCCCGTTGCGCAGATTCGTGTAAAAAGCGAGCAACAGCTTATGTTACCTGAAATGGAATCAGCTGAGGCATCTGCTGAGCTTCCTCCTCTGCCTGCCAAGCCTCAGCGCAAGGGCACGCCTATCAAATTACGTCAGATCAAAGCAGAGATTGATGATGAGGAGGAGCAGGAGCAAGCTCCAACACCAGCCAAGCCGCAGCGCAAGGGTACGCCAGTTAAAACAAAGGAGGAGCCGCTCGAGTTTTATGAAATTTGTGAGGCAAAACCCTTGCGCAAGGGCACGCCAGTCAGAGTCAAAGCTAGTGCCATGGGCACTGAGGTCTCTGGTCACTGTGCAGTGCGCTCCATACTAACAAAGAAGCGCGACCTGTTTGCCGAGGATAACCAAAAGAATGTCCAGTTCAGCAGCAATGCGCCCATCGTGCACAATCTGAGTCCTGATCTGTGCAGTCCAGCACCGTGCAGCAAGGAGAATGCACAGCCCGATAGCCAGGATGTAAAGCCGGTCAAGAAATCACAGAGCATCATACGACGCATTGTTGTGGCATCCAAGAAGCCAGCGAGCTCTTAAGCAGAACGCCAAATGCATAATTACAAATAAAGTGTTTAATTAAAGCTAAGACTTAGGCAATAAATTACACACCAAACAACAACGAGACGTACAAACTTAATAGTTCTTGCCGATCCAAGGGCCACACATGGACACTTAGTGCATCAGCCATCAAGATGGGGAAATACGTAAACCTGGAATGATATAACTTAGATTTATGAAAAGCCTTAAACAAAATTTTTGTATAAGCTAAAGCTAAAATGCAATTATTGCCCAAGTGGTTGCAATGCATAGAAATGTAAAAAATGTATCTATTTAAATTGTATTGCTCGGGATCAGATGCAGTCCCAGAGCTACGGCATATATGTTGAACATCTTTAGGTAATACCATTTAAATTTATGCAAATGATAATCGTTTATGTGCAAGTGGGCTATAGGGTGAACTGCATTATGATGATTCAATTCAAGAAATTAACTATTAATAAAGGTCCCTATGTAAATCAATAATTTTACTCATGTTATAGAAACTAGTTTCAACAATAAAATATAAAAAAGTTAAAGTACATTTATAAAGCTGGGGATTCAGATATAAAAATATATAATATAATTCTAACTATAATTTCTCATCTATTTACATGCATTTCCAAGAATTCATATTACCCGTTTTGACAGTTTTTGAAGGATATATAATCTCTGATTATTTATTGGAACTCTGAATTATGTACGATTAGATCATCTACTTAGCACAGCAAACAGACGACAATATTGTGCTGATAGCACTCAGAGAAGATCTACGGCAACACAACAAACGCCTTTCTTTGCTTACTTCATGAAACGCGATGATAGCTAGACGTCCATCGGCTGCTCCTCCTCGAAGCCCAAGTGCTCGTAGATGGGCGCTGAGGCTGCGGGCAGTTCAACAGGAGCTTCATCCGCTTCTTTGGTGTCGATCGGCTCCTTGATCTCTGTGTACAGCTGATAGGGCAGATCTGTGGGCATGGCCTCGTAGGTGACGTGGTGGGTGCGCGAGCAGCTGCCGTGGGATTGCCGTGGGCCGGCGCAGTTGCAAATGGAGGCGGAGCCGCTCACTGGTGTCTCATAGCCATCGGCCAGAGCTATGGGCAACTCCAGCTCCTCGGCCACGTTGGCGCCGCTGCTGCCATTGGCGATGGGATAGCGCACGATGTCGATGTGATCCACGAAGCGATGGCTGCTGGAGGCCTTGCCGCCGCCGAAGCAGGGCAGTCCGCCGGAGTAGTATGACCAATGGAACATGCGCTCGCAGTGCAGATAGAGGTACAGCAGCAGGAAGAGCAGCGCAATGCCCAGCGGCAGCATGAAGACTATGACGAGTGCCTCCGAGCGCTGGCTGTGCGACTGCTGCAAGGGATTGCCGTAGAGCACCGTGTGACTGGAGACATTCAAGTGGCCGTGGCTAACGGACCAGTTGCTCTCGGTCTTGTTTCGTGGAGTGCTTGGCTGCACTGCCTCCTGCTCCTTCGCCTTCTCCAGCTGCGGCATGCAGCTCAGCCCGTTCACATTGATGTGGGATATGTACTTGGCGTAGCGGAACAGGCGAAACAGCTGCGGCTGGTCATGCGAGAAGTTGAGCAGCCACTGGCAGCTCCACGGATTGTCGTCGATGTGTATGTGCAGTTGCTGCACCTGCTCCCAGGCCGCGTGCTCCGTCTGCTCCAGGCGCACCAGCTCATTGGAGGTCAGATCCAGCCGGGTGAGACTTCCTGCAGCTAGCTCCAGCAGCTGCGGCCACGAAATGCTGTGCAGCTGATTCCGCTGCAGCTGCAGAGACTGCAAATGCTGCAGCTGGGCAAACCAAGTGCTGTTCAGGCTCCGCAGGTGATTCGCGCTGAGATCGAGGCTGATGAGCGAGCTGTTCGACAGCTGCAGCTCTCTCAGCGCATTTCCACTCAAGTTGAGCTGCTGCAGCTTGGTGCTTATGGAGGCATCGAGTGCGAAGCTGCTCAGCTCACACTCGACCAGGCTGAGGTGGAGCAGCTGCTCGGTGCCATTGGCGAGGCGTAGGTGTCGCGGCTCGATGAGCGTCTGCTGCACCAGCAGCTCGGCCAGCTGCCCAGGCAGCGACTCCAGGACCTCACTCCTCACCAGCTTCAGCTGTGTCAGCTCCAGACGCTGCAGTTGCTCCAGCTGCTCCAGCAGCTCCGCCTGCCGCAGCGCCAGCTGACGCTCGCGTCGTATGCTCAACTGCTGCAGCTCTTGGCATCCCTCGAGCGGCTCGAGCAGCCGCAGCGAGTTGTCCTCCAGCAACAGCTGCTGCAGGTGCGGCAGCAATGCGAAGCTGTTGCCACTAAGCGTGCCCAGCTCATTGTGGCGCAGGGCGACAACACGCAGCCGCTCCAACTCCTGCTCCTGCTCCTGCTCCTTTTCCATTCCACAGCTTAAGGGCAGGCTAGTTTCCAGCACAAAGCGCTCGATCTCCACGCTCTCCAGCTGCGCACAGTTGTCCAGATAGGCTAGGCCATAGCCGGCGACCTCGGCCAGCGGCGGCGTCTGGCTGCCATTGAGGCGCACATGCAGCTTGCCAGCCACACGTTGCGCGCCCAGGTCAAAGACGGCTCCACCAGTGGCGCTGCCATTGTCCGCGCAATCGATGTCCAGCGGCAGACCAAAATCCTGCATGCTGCGCTGATCCGGCGGCGTTACATAGAGCATGGCACGTATGAGGCAGGAGCTCTCAGCTCCGACCACAACAGCTGGCAGCAGCAACAGCAACAGTAGCAGCAGAGGCAGAGGCAGTGGCAGTGCGTAGCTGCCTGTTGAGACGGTGCTGCAGTGCGTCATCGGCTCGTTGGCATTCCACTTGAGCAGCGAAGCGTATCGCATCTTTGTCGAACAGCAGCCGCTCCCGTTGCGTGCAAAAACTCAACTGCGCAGCCCTCCCAGTGCGGAAAAGTGGAAAAGCGGAAAAGCTTTAGCTCTGGCGTCGCACCTTTGGCTCTCGCCAGGTCAGCGCCAGCCCCCCGCCGTTCGCTCGAATATTGAAAACATGAGTTTCTCACTTTGTTTCAGTTTCAGTTTTTGATTTTGTTATAAATTTAGCTATTTTGTGTCGCTCTGCTCTTTGCTCTCCACACACGAGAGTTCTTCTACACAGCTGTCAGCACTGCGCCCGTACCCCCTTCACGCAGCGCCACGCCTCCACGCCCAGTCAACGGAAGCAGCAAGCACTTTTCGCACAGAGCCCACTCGGCAGCATGCCTCCAAAGTGGCTGTGGAATATGTTTATCCATACTGTATGGCTATATATATCAGCATCAGCTATATATGCATGTATGTACATATATGTATATAGTCAGATGTACATATATACATACATATATCTGTAGAATCGCATCAGCTGTGTAGCGAGCATTCGCATTCGAATTGTTTACACACAATTCTTTTGAGTACATTCATTTTGTTTTTAGAATCGAATAATTTGATTACTAATCGGGGGCACTTTTCAGCGGGCATGAGATCAGCAAGAACCCTTGAAAATCTATTGCGAAGGACAGTCTTGAGATACGGGCAAACGAGTGAGAGCTTTGACCTTGAATTGTAATTCATTTATCAATATTTTTCTTGAATGTTTTAGGGCATTCTTAAGTATTGAACATATACGTATACATATGTACATATGTATGTATGTATGTAATGCGAATTTTAAGCAGATGTACAATATTTTATAATATATGAATGTATGTAAAATATATTGAACTTAATGATGTTCAAACTACTTAAGTCATACATATATATACATACATATATAATACAGGTAGCTATAGGGAAGACTTGGGACTACAGGGAAAAAAAAACATTTAAATTACATCATAAATTGTTCCTCAATATAATTTATATATTTTTAATAAGATTATATTAAATAACTATTTTTGATTAACATAAAAATAAAAATTTACTGAATAACTTGAATTTTCATAATAATCAAGTCTAATTATTTAGTCAAATCCCGAATCCTTAGGCGAATTTATGGCTGAACTAACCTGCCAAAGTCTAATTAAGCTAGAGTAAATCTAAAACTGTAAATTTTAACACAATTTATACACGAAAATTTAATTAAAAGCTAAGGGGAACAACACAACTAAAATTCGTCGCAGGGCGAGGGGCACAGCGGCCATTGTCATCCACTGGAATAGCGGTGGCAAGCAGCTTGATGATATGTCCCAGGAGTAGGTGATCTATTTGTAGATGAGTCACGGCTGCTCCTGGCCATCTCCTCAAGTTGCTTGAGCCGCTGGACCAGAGAGAGCTGACCGCCTGCTAGGCTCTGGCCTTCAGCGAGCGCGGAGTGCCAAGTCGTGTGGCGCCGGGACTGGATGGCTGGCTCTGGGCGGCAGCTCGCGTCATGCCCTGTTCGCTGGTGGCGGTGGAGCGTTGGGGTGTGGCACCACCGAGCGGAGCACTGAGCGAGCCGCTGGCGGGGCAGCCTGTCGCGCCGCCCGAGGTCATGGTGTAGATGTGCCGGCGCAGCACACGGATGTGCTTCTGCGAGACCTCGAAGTTGTGGACGAGCGTGTGCAGCTGCGTCTGCAGCTCGGCGATGAGGCTGTCGCGCTCTTGGATCAGGCTCGACGTCGAGTTCTGGCTGCGGCTGAGCTTCAGCTCCAGATCGTAGATGCGCTTCTGTAGCTCGCGGCGCTGCTTCTCCGTTTGCTCGCGATGCCGCGACAGCTGCCGCTTGCCCGCCGCCTGCAGCGTGTCCAGCTGCAGCTTGGTCGTGGTCAGCTCCTCGGCGAGTCGGCGCTTCTCCGTCTTGAGCGCTGTGTTGTAGTTCTTGAAGATCTTGAGGTCGCGCTCGGCCGCCTTCAAGCGATTGACGGTGATCAGCTTGCGCTTGCCCAGCTCGTCGATCTTGCTCTTCAGCTGAGCGGCCTCCTTCTGCAGCGAGTGCAGCTTCTCGGCCATCAGGCAGTTCTCGCGCAGCACATTCTCATACTTGGTGTGCTCCTCGCGCATCAGCATCGGCAGCTGGGCGACGCTCTTCAGCTTGCTGTCGATCTTCGAGCGCAACGTGTCGATGTCGTGGTAGATGCTCGACTCCAGCTGCTGGTTGTTCTCGTGCAGCTTGTCGATCTCATGCTTCTGCGTCTTCATGATCTCCTGCGCCTTCACGCAGCGCGTGTGGTAGTCGCTGATCCGCTCCTGCTGGTGCCGTATAATGTTGCGGAACTGCACCTGCTCGTTCTTCAGGTCCTTAATCGTGCTGTACAGCTGGCTGAACTCGCCGCTGTCGAGGTCGTAGCCATAATTCTTCTTGTGATCTTGCTGTGTATTGATCACGTCCTTGAGCACATGGTACATTTTCTTGAACGACGGGTCGTTCTCCTGCTCCTCCGCTGCTGAGCGCTGGGCGCGGCGTGCATGGCCACGCCCCAGCACTTGCTGGCCATAGCCAGCTGGCTGACTCCTCAGCTTCGACTGATGCCGATGATCCTTGCGCTTGCCCAGCGACGTTGGCGCCGTCTGTATCGTGTCGGAGGAGTTGGGCACAGCCAGCACCGTCATGAAGCTGCTGTTGCTGCAGAAGACGTTCTTGCCGTGGCGGCCCGTGACAGTCAGAACGGAGTCCATGCTGGTGGAGGACGGGCAATAGCTGTCTAGCAGCCCTCCATCCACATCCCCGTCCGTTTCGCTGGGCAGCTCCATCTCCGGACTCGGACAGCGTCGGGACGCAAACTGGCCGTGTTTCTGCTGCATTTCGCTCAGCTCGAAGTTGATCTTCATGTACTTCTTCTCCAGGTCCTTGGTCGTCTCGTTGTATTCCTTGAGCTCCTGCTTGTACTTGGTTAGCTCGTGCTTCAGCTTGGCCCCCATCTCATCGCCCTGCGGCACGCTGCGTCTCTTCGGCTTACATGTCCGCTGCTCTTCCTCATCGTCGTCCGCGTCGTCCACTAGGCCGAACTGATCGCCGTCGCTGAGCGCCATCTCCTCGTCCTCGTCCACACAGTCGTTGTTGCTGTTGTTGTTGTTGCAGTTGTTGTTGGCATCGTTCGACGGCAGATTTTTGTTGTGTAGACTTATGTAACTGGTCTGCTTCAGAGCCTTGCCGTTTGTATTGTCCCCGTCCGGTTGCTTCCCCATCGACTCGGCCTGCTCTTGCCCGACGGGGGAGACTCCTCTGCTCGCCGGTTCGTTATTAGCTTTGTAGCTGGCCGGAATTAACATTTACAATAATTTTGCGTTCAGCCGGTTTCTCTATACACTTCCGTAATTTTTGTCCTGTCTTTTTACCAACAGATAAATTTTAAAAGGAATCTCACATTAATTTACCAAAAACAATTATTAGTTCAACATGGAACAATATCAAAGTATTATTATCAACAATTTTTTTATTTTTTCTAAATGCCTACTCAACTAGAGTTTTTTTTTAAGGATGTTTACAAGTTATAGTAATTTAGTATATTTAAACAACTATAATATTATATTCATATTCATATACTATTCGAAAAAGGCGACTTGTTAGCTGGTACTAATTAGTTGTAAACTTAATCTAAACTCGTTTCGAAGCTCTATCAACTACTAAGACTGAAAAGAGCTTCTCCAGCATTGATGGACTCTGAAGTTTTTCTTTATTTAACACTAAACAAGTTTATATATCTTTATATATCTAAGCTGCCGTCTTATAAGGCCAATGAAGTATTTACTATTCAGAGATCCGTGATCTAAAAACTATGTTGTTTTAGCTATGATATATAAATTATTGATAGGTGATCTATAAACATTGTTGCATGATTGTAAAACTATACGAATAATAATGGCTAGGGGGCTATTAAGGGAATCTGAGTTTATTTATAGTAATTACTTTTTAAGCAAATCATGTGGTGTAAAATAATGAAGCCGAGAAAAATGCAGAATCTTTAACAAGGTAGCGGAATATTCATGTTTTCCCACATTTTTTGTACGCGCATCTTCTCAATTTTAAAATTAAAATATGTATACTCTACATAATAATATATTCAGGATATACAGATATTTGGATACGTTCATATGATGGAAAAGAATTCCAGTAAACCACAATAATAAATAAACATAAATACGTACATATAATGTTTTTCATTGTATATTTAGACCAGGTATACGAGAATAAATAGAGCAAATATTTATTAAATATTTATAGATACACTTTTTGTATATTCTTGTGTGATTTATTATTTGTTTGCTTCAAAATATTTATCGAGAGCTTGACTCATAAAAATATTGATTACTCTGTGGAGAAGTGTCGATGCGAGCTTGGATTTCGATCATAAGACAAATCAAAGCAGGCCTGGGCACATATTTTTCGAAGCGTGGAAATCCATACACACATTGTTCAGTTCATTTTAGTTGTTTAAAAAAACAACACAAACACCTTAAAATTTTATAGTAATCAATTCCAGAATATATTACCAAAATTTTAAGATTATGCTTTAAAATTACGAGTGATTGGAGCTTATATAAAAAAGAAACCATCTTGGAACCATTGAACGTTACCACACGAGAGACAAAGGGGCAACATCATTTTGCTTAGTTAGAGTAATTAATTATCCAACAAAATGGCCGACAATGAGGGAGCGGAAGAGCAGGAGTTCGACGAGGACGATGGCATGGCGGCCATGGATGAGGGTGGCATGGAAGAGGGCATTGAAGATGACCTATTCTCACGCCTGGGCGAGTCTTCGGACGATCCGGAGCAGAGACGAATGTATCACGAGTATTTGGCGCTAATCAAGGAGATCGACTGCCAGAACAGGATTATACAGGACATTAAGATGCAGGTGATGGACATGTGCGAGCGACCCTGTAAGACGCGTAACGAGCTGCGCGAGATCAAGCGCCTGCGCATCTGCATGGAACAGGAGAATATCAAGCTGCACACCATGATGAATCGAGCCGTAAAGCTGCAGAACTTCGGATCCCGGCGTCATTATCGCGAGCTGAACATGACCACCACCGTCGATGAGGACAATATATCGCCATATTGCATGGGTCCCTGTGGCGCACCAGCTGGGGGCAGTGGCGCAACAGCTACCGAGTGTAGCGACGAGGCTCCCTCCAGCTGCTGCCAAGCGGAGGGTCAGGAGGATCGGCTCATTAAGGCGCTGAGCAAGGCCATGCAGAAGATGAAGGGCGCCTGTCCGGAGGACATGAAAATGATGCAGGAAATCGCCTGCGCCATAATGGCCTCCAAGTCCAAGCCGAAGCAGGTCTGCAATCCAGGGCCATGCCAGAAGGCGCAGTCGCCCTGCGAGGACAGCAGCAGCAGCAGCCAAGGACCTCCATGCCCACCCTGCCCACCGCCGCCGTGTCGTACAGCGAAGCGCTCCCGCCAGCGTGCACAGTCGCCCTGTCCACCGCCGTGCCCGCCGCCGTGTAACAAGAGCGACTCCCTGGACAAGCTGAAGCGTCGCATCGTCAACATGCAGTGCTCGGTGAAGAAGCTGCTCAACGAGGTCAGCAAACGCGAGACACAGGAGCCAACGTCGTGCGGCGGCTTCGATGATGATGATGACCACGATCATGAACATGATGATAGCTGCAATGTGGGCTCGGCGCGTCCGCCTTGCCCAGAGGATCCCGATCCGCTGGTCATCTGTGGCGGCAAACGCAACACCAAGGCGGACAAGTACGAGAAGATGAAGGAGAACTATGCACGACTGTTGACACAGTTTCAGCGCAAGGACTGCCAAATGAAGGAGCTGGAGAAACGGTGAGAGAGCCCTTAGCTTTCAGCTGAGATCCTCGATTAACTTCTTTTCATTTGCTTTAGCATGAAGGGCTTTATGGGCAGCTGTGGTGGCGGGGGCAAAGGGGCAACCTCGGACGCTGACGCCGCTGAGTTGAATCTGCTGCGTGCCCGGGTCAACGAGCTGAAGGAGGAACAGTTGGAGTTCAAGTGCATCATGAAGGAGCAGTCGCAGCAGCTGGAGGACTACCGCAACAAGTACATGCTGGCCCAGCAGAAGGTCGAGGAGCAGTGCGTCTCGCTGGAGAAGCTGAACATGAACAACAAGCGCATCGAGCAGCAGATCAATACGGAGGTCAAGGAAATACGCTCCAAGTTCCAGGAGAAGCTCAACGAGCTGCTGCACTTCCCCAAGCTGCTGGAGAACGAGCAGCTTAAGCTGGCGCAGGTGTGCAAGGAGAAGGATGATCTGCAGAGCAAACTTGTGGTTGTCTGCAAGGAGCTGAAGTCCTGCAAGACGCAGATGGAGGCTCCCACCCAGGATCTGGGACCACAGCTGGCCCAGTGCCAGCTCGATCTGTCCCAGGCCCGGAATGAAATCGAGGAGCTGCTGCGCCAGCGCGACCTCTTCTGCGAGCAGCTGAAGACCACACAGGACGATCTGGACACGTTGCGCACCGAGTCCGCCAAGATTATTGCCGGCACCAAGGAGCGCGCCGAGATGATAAAGGCCCAGCAACAGGAGCAAATCAATCGCCTCGAAAAGGAGCTGGCCCAGTGCCGTGCCACAGCCAGCCTGTCGGTCAACGATCGCGAGGCGGTCATCCGCGAAATGCAGGGCCAGCTCAACACCCTCTCGTACAGCTTCGATGCGGCCCAAAAGCAAATCAAAACCCTCCGCAATCACATCGCCTACGTGTCCAACGAGAATTGCTTCCCGGTCAAATGTTAACTCGGATCAGTTTTCCCCAGATTTCAATGTTCTCATCCAACTGCCGTCCACCCTGTGCCTGTGTGTATGTGTGTGTGCGTGTGTGTATGCATGTGCTTGTGCGCGCCTCTGTGCTGCTAATGCTAAAGCTCCAAAGAATGCGTCTCTCAGGAAATGTCTGATGGACTCTTGCTAATCTCTAGCAAAACTACATCAACTTTCTCTCAGCTCACTGTGAATCTTTAGTCGAACGGGATTTAGAAACACTCTAAATTACACATCACATACATGCATGCATATATATAATAATAATTTCTCTATAATAAAAGCGGTTCAAAATCATTCTACATCTTGCAATACCTCAAGGTAGGAACTGCTAGAGATTTCAGGGTATTGTTATATGAGTAAGATCGTGTATGAGTATAACTATAATCTCTAACTAATAAAAGCGGAAAATAAGGAAATGCCATAGCTATATAAGAAATTAGACAATCAAAATATAAAATAAAAACAAAATATGTTTGGTGTAAATAACAATTATGTGAATTTAAGCCCATTAATCTCCATTAATTTTTTGCTACAATCTGAATATTAATAAAATTTGAAGCTGACTTTTTTTCTCTTTTTTGGCGCTCAATAAGAAAATCAAATACTTTATTGCTTTAGTGTGGCGCCAATTTTTCTAGGGATAGTAAATGAGCGCAAATAGATGGCACTACAGGGCGCAACAAGATCTATAGCGATTTAACTGCTAGGCGTTTCATTTTGGGCGCATTCTTTTTGGCCTGGCGTTTCTGTTCCTTGAGCTCCCAGCGGCGTTGCTTCTCAGGATCTTCTTCGGCAAGCACACGCTCCTTCTCCTGCTTGCGCTTATCTTCGCGGCGCTGAGCGGCTGCCTCGGCACGAGCGGCATGGGTGCTCTTCAGGAACTCCTCCTCGACGCGCAGACGATTCTTGTCTGCCTTAGCTTTGGCCTGCAATTAAATTTACAGTGTTATGATTATGGTTTCCAAGCAGTGTGCCGTCAAGCTGTGTGACCGCTTACCTCCTTGGACATACGATAGACTTTCAAGCGTTCCATTAGATAAAATATCAACAATAACAAGGGTTTAATGGTCTCCATTTCGGCATGTTTGGGCAGATTGAAACCGGCCAATAGCACAGGCCGCGTCTCTGGCTGCTTCAGCGTGTTGCCTTCCTCCTGCTGGATTTGGCCGCTGAACTGATCCGAAATGTGCAGGTAATCGATATAGCTTTGGTATTTGTTAAGTGCAGTTATAACACGTGACTCGAGTATGGCGGATGTGGCTTCTGGTATTTCAGAAAGCACGCCAAAACCACTGGGAACATTATAACGATCCTCCGGTTTGGCAACTAAACTACAAAACTTGCTCTGCAATCAACCAAAATGAAAATGTTTAAACTGATTGCCGCTACATCAGTAGTTCATGACTTACTAAATCTGTATACTCTTTGAATATTTTCGTTATGGTCTTCTTGCTGCCGACTGCAAACACAAATGAATCCATTAAACCACGTGTTAAATCGATTTTGATGTGCACCTGATCCAGCTGGGGTCGCATCAGACCCGCAACAAGTGAAACCAAGTCCTGACGCTTGATCATCTTCAGCTCCACGAGCATGCCCTCGCAACAGGTGCGACCGGAGCACCACAGGGTGTATAGGCTTTCGCTCTCCTTAATCAGTCCTGGATTCTCGTTCTCTACCTTACCATCGTCGCCGACCAGTGCAAAATTTTCGTCGAGGAGTGCTTTATGCGTGCTGAACCAGAGCTGTGCCAGGCGAGCATTCTTTGCTTTGCCAGCAAAGAAGTTGGCGAAATAGGCTAGGAGACCGGCTACCATTAGCATTTCCATCCAATAAGAATCCCAGTGGGTGCGGAAATGTAATGGTATATTCGGTATCTTCAGCTTTGGCTCCGTCTTCTGATCAATGGGTGGCTCCATGGTGTCACCAGCATCGTAGCCTTCAAACTCCTCTTCGTCCTGGAAATGTTCAAATTCATCGTCGTTCTCAACGAGACCGTCTTCCTCGTCATCGTTAGAAACAGATTTCTTGGGCACTTCCTGACGTTCTATGTAGCTTTCCCTGCCTGCACCTCTGGATGAGTCGGCATTCTCTGCGGTTTCCGTATCGTAGCTGGCATCCACAAAGTCATCGTCGAACTCCGCAAAATCATTGTCCGTTTCATCTTCGCCATTGGTGTTTACATTTGCGCTGTTCATCTGGCAGGCGCACAATAGCGCCAGCAGCAAAAATGCAAACACTGGTCGCATGTTTTAATACAAATAGTCGAAAAAATAACGTAATTCAGCTAATATTAACCTAAAACTAAAACTTTTCACCTAATAAAAAAAAAGTAGGTTAAGTGGACTGAAAATATCGATAAAATCATAAGAGCATCGTTTCTCGATAATAAAATACTCACAATAATGAACTAAATACTAAACAGTTCAGGAACTGTTGAGCACATTTAAATTTAAGTATTCGGTGGACACACAATTAGAATTTATAACATGATGAATCAATTACAGTTTGGAAAATGTTTATATATACAAAATAATAGCAATAAACGAATGCCGTAGCGTCAGACATCAAAATTTGTTTATATTCTCACCACGATATATCGATAATTGCTTACAAATTTCGATTGGACAAACGATAATAGCCTTTTAGCCGCCGTAGCGAAGTAAACACGTTGCAATTCGCAATTTTTTGGTTGCTGGTTAATTCAGTAAATATTAAGTGAACTTATAAGAAACTGCGCAGCCAAATAAACGAATATGGTAAGTGAAAACATATAAAAAAAATACCGGCATAGCCAACTTGCTTACTGCTCGGTATATTCCAATAATGAATTCCACGGGGACAAAATCCGCAACCTGATGCAATATTTGCATCGAATGACAATCAAAAACGAAATAATTACAATAATTTAATATATGCATGACGCCAACAGGCAAATGTGGAACGTAAAGGCACCTTTAAGGTGGAATTTCTGCAGAAAATCGAGCGCGAAGTGCAACAACGATGGGAAAAGGAGCGTGTGCACGAAACAGATGCCCCAACTGAGCCCAAAAAGCAGCAGAGCGAAAAATTCTTTGTCACATTTCCGTTTCCGTATATGAATGGACGCCTGCACTTGGGGCATACATTCTCCATGTCGAAGGCCGAGTATGCTGTGCGCTACCATCGTCTCAAGGGACGTCGTGTGCTATGGCCCTTCGGATTCCATTGCACGGGTATGCCAATCAAGGCGTGCGCCGATAAGCTAGCACGAGAACTGGAGACATTTGGCTATCCACCCAAGTTCCCAGAGACGGAGGAAGAGGCGCCAGCCGTTGAACAGTCGCAGTCGGAGGTGCCCAAGGACAAGTCGAAGGGAAAGAAGAGCAAAGCTGTTGCCAAAACAGGCAGTGCCAAATACCAATGGCAAATCATGCAAAGCCTCGGCCTGCACGATGAAGAAATCAAGCAATTCGCTAATGCCGAGCATTGGCTGGGCTATTTCCCACCGCTGGCGGTGCAGGATCTGAAGCGCATCGGAGTGCATGTAGACTGGCGTCGCACGTTCATAACCACCGATGCGAATCCCTATTTTGACTCGTTTGTTCGGTGGCAGTTCAATCATTTGAAGCAGCGCGGCAAGATCATGTATGGCAAGCGCTACACAATTTATTCGCCCAAGGACGGACAGCCCTGCATGGATCACGATCGTTCCAGCGGCGAGGGCGTTGGCCCCCAAGAATATACTCTGATCAAGATGAAAGTGCTGCAAACGCCCAAAGCTTTAAGGTAATGCCCTTGTTTGTAATTCTTAACATAGACAATGATGTCATTGAATCCTTTGTAGCGCCATCAAGCAGCCCATTTTCTTGGTGGCAGCCACATTGCGTCCGGAGACGATGTACGGCCAAACGAACTGCTGGCTACATCCAGACATCAAGTACATTGCCTGGCAAAGCACGCGCGACAACGAAGTGTGGGTCAGTACTCACCGTGCCGCACGCAACATGTCCTACCAAGGCTTTACCGCCGAGGACGGTAAAATTGTTGTACTGGCCGAGGTGACCGGCCTGGAACTCCTAGGGGTTCCACTGTCGGCGCCACTAACTAGTCACAAAAAAATCTACACACTGCCTATGCTGAGTATTAAAGCGGATAAGGGTACGGGCGTGGTGACCTCCGTGCCTTCTGACTCGCCCGACGATTATGCGGCTCTCCTGGATCTGCAGAAGAAAGAGGCATTCCGCCAAAAGTATGGCCTAACCGATGAAATGGTGCTGCCATACGGGCCGATACCCATCATCGAAGTTCCAACACTCGGCAAGCTAAGTGCTGTGCATGCCTACGACACGCTCAAGATTCAATCGCAGAACGACAAGGAAAAACTGGCCGAAGCCAAGGAGCTTTGCTATTTAAAGAGTAAGTGACATTATTGGAAGGGATATAATATGTGTATATGTTTAATTGCTTTTGGGTTTAATTAATGAATATTTTACTACTAATTATTCACATGCATACTTACCTTTAATTTATAATTTCGATTATCTATCACATAATTTGCCAACTGTTAGGCTAATAAAAATAAAGAGGAATGAAATTTGAAAAGCTTTCAGGAATTATAGCTCATAGTTAACTGAGCAGATAAAAATGTATATGAGTGAATTTTAGAAAATGTTCTGATTGATATGTTTTTACTTCACAGGCTTCTACGATGGCGTAATGCTGGTGGGCGAGTTTGCTGGTCGTAAAATTCAGGATGTGAAAAAGCTGCTGCAAAAACAATTGGTTGATGCCAAGGAGGCGGACATTTACTATGAACCAGAGAAGTTAATCATGTCTCGCTCAGCGGATGAGTGCGTGGTGGCGCTGTGTAATCAGTGGTATCTGAACTATGGCGAGCCCGAATGGCAGGCACAGGCAACGAAAATACTGCAGGACATGGAGACGTTTCACGAGGAGGCGCGCAACAACTTTGAGGCGTGTCTGAACTGGCTGCACGAGTACGCCTGTTCGCGTACCTATGGCCTGGGCACCAAACTGCCCTGGGATGAGCAGTGGCTCATTGAATCGCTGTCGGACTCAACCATTTATATGGCCTTCTATACAGTTGTTCACTTGCTGCAAGGCGGCACTTTCCGTGGCGAGAAGCCAGGACCTTTCGGTATTTGAGATTGTAAAAGACTTGTCTATAATCTGACTGACTCCTTGCATAATTTATGTTCTATAGGCATCAAACCTGAAGATATGACTGCTGACGTCTGGGACTATATATTCTTCAAAGAGACGCCGCTGCCAAAGAAGACAGCTATCAAAAAGGAGCACCTGGCTGTGCTGCGCCGGGAATTCGAGTACTGGTATCCCATGGATCTGCGTGTGTCTGGCAAAGATTTGATTCAGAACCATTTGACTTTCTGCCTGTACAATCATGCAGCCATTTGGCCCAATGATGAAACGAAGTGGCCCAAGGGTATGCGTGTCAATGGTCACCTGCTGCTCAATTCAGCAAAGATGTCCAAGTCAGATGGCAATTTCCTAACACTCTACGAAGCTGTTCAGAAGTTCTCGGCGGATGGCATGCGCCTGTGCCTGGCCGACGCTGGCGATAGCGTAGAGGACGCCAACTTTGTGGAGAGCACCGCGGATGCGGGAATTCTGCGTTTGTACACATTCATTGAGTGGGTCAAGGAGATGCTGGCTACGCGCACTAGCTTGCGCCATGATGCTGCCAAGACCTTCAATGATCAAGTTTTCCTGAGCGAGCTGAACCTGAAGACAAAACAGACGGATGATAACTATCGGCGCATGCTGTTCAAGGAAGCCCTGCGCAGCGGATTCTATGAGCTGCAGCTGGCCCGTGACAAGTATCGCGAGCTGTGCGGTGCCCAGGGCATGCACGAGGAGTTGGTCATGGAGTTTATACGTCGTCAGGCACTGTTAGTGTCGCCGATTTGCCCGCACATGGCGGAGCATGTATGGGGTCTGCTGGGCAACAAGGAATCTATTGTCCATGCCCGTTGGCCTGAAGTGGGCGCCATCAATGAGAACGACATCATGCGCTCTGAGTATTTGATGGAGGCAGCGCATTCTTTCCGCCTTAACTTGAAGAATCTGCTGCAAGTCAGGGGCAAGGGTGGCAAAGAGAAGGCTGTAGATGTCCAGACGCCGAAGCCCAATCGCGGTCTCGTTTGGGTGGCCAAAACGTATCCGCCCTGGCAGTGCTGCGTGTTGGACACCATGCGAGAGATGTATAACAAGGACACCAAAACGCTGCCCGACAACAAGCTAATCGCAGTCACGCTGCAGCAGAAGCCCGAACTGAAAAAGTTCATGAAGCGTGTGATGCCCTTTGCTCAAATGATACGCGAGAAAGTGGAGGGGGGTAAAGGCGTGGCTGCACTAGCTGTCACCCTGGAGTTCGATGAGCGCGAAGTACTGCTCAGCAATCTCGATTATCTGAAGAACACCTTGGATGTGAGTAGAAAAACCTACATGAATATTCTTGACTTACTTATGCGCTCTTCTACAACAGCTGGAAAGCCTGGAAATAAAATACACTGATGATCCCTCGGCACCTGAGAAGACGCGCGAGGAAGTGCGCCCTGGCTCACCCTTCATTAGCTTCAGTGTAGCGCCTCACGTCCCAGTTGAGCTGGTAAATCCAATTGAGCGCTCGGGTCTGTTCCAGGTGAACACTATCATATCTGAGGGTGACACTGTGCAGTCCCTGCGCGAGAAACTCGCCAAGATAATTGGCCTTAAGTCAGATCTGTCCACGCTACAAATCTGGCGCTATGAGGATCCTGTGATGGGTCCACGCAAACTGCCCAACTTCCAGGACTATAAAACGGGCAAGACACTTCTCAGCGAGGGCAATTTCGTTCTTGATGTGGCTGATAAACGAGTGAGCGTCAATCTTTCGGGAAAATTGACCGAGGTCGGACGTAATCTAATCTATGTGGTTGAGTAAAGATTCTGATTGACTCCACTTGCATGTTATAAGAGATACTTGAATTGAAATTGGAGCACTCCCTGTAATGAATTGTTGGCTATAAATGAATACCTTAACAAGCAATGTGCTTTGGTGTAACCGAAAATACACTTGGCCTACTTTCAATTGTTTTATCAAGGTTGGCTCGGCTATACAGGCTAAAGCTAAGCTAGAGCTCGACTTTAACTACTGTGAAAATGAAGTACTGTAATCTATTGCATATGAAATGTGAAACTAGGTAAGTATTATGTAACAAAATATATTTTGTTTATTGTTAGGTAAGAGGCGTTTTTTTTTTTTTTAATAAACTTGAAAGTTCTGAGTGGATTAGACATCAAATTAAAATGCATATATTTAATTAAAGCCATCTAGAATAATTTTCAATTTGTGTACATTTTGTAAAATCTTTCCCTATTTTCTTAGAGTAAGCGTATAAAAAATTCGTTTAGAGTATGTATTGCTTCTTCATTTCCTCCAATTATTTTAGTATGCCAACCTAGCAGGCTTAATTAGATAAAGTCTCAGTGGGGTTTTTCGACTATCGGTTAGCTTAGCCTATTGAGGTTCTGGTTCGGTCTTATATAAGCCGGGCGCTTCTTTTCTTTTTGTCAAAGTCAAATCAAAAATGTTGTCGACGAAACTAGTGATTGTTCTGTTGGTTCAAGTCGCCATTGGTGTCCTGGCGGGCGTCTGCTTGATACCTGAGCCCGTCAAGCGCCAACGATCGCTGGTCAATGAGCTGTTCAGGCGACAGCCACGCCTCGATGGTCGCATTGTTGGTGGCCATCGTATAAACATAACGGATGCACCACATCAAATCTCGTTGCAAACATCCGACCACATCTGTGGCGGCTCACTGATTTCGAAGGAGTGGATAATAACGGCAGCGCATTGCACCTTGTAAGTTGATCCGGCTGCTGATTCTACGATGAGAAACTAACCACAATTTTTTCTGATCCAGTGGCAAACAAGCTAATCAACTACGCGTGCGGCTGGGCACTTCTGAATGCTCCCGAAATGGACAACTGCTAAACATCAAAAAGATTGTCCAACACGAAAAGTTCAATTACTCGAATGTCAACAATGATTTTTCGCTATTGCAGCTGCAGGAGCCAATTGAATTCGATGAGACCAAGAAGGCTGTTAAGCTGCCGACACAGGATCAAGAGTTTGAGGACGGTGATGAGTGCTATGTTAGCGGCTGGGGCAACACACAGAATCCTCTGGAGTCCCGCGACTGGCTGCGCCAGGTGAAGGTGCCGCTGGTCAACCAGGAGGAGTGCAACAAGAAATACAGTCGATATGGCGGTGTGACAGATAGCATGATCTGTGCTGGATATATGAAAGGTGGCAAGGATGCCTGTCAGGGCGATTCTGGTGGTCCCATGGTAAATGAGGACGGCGTGTTGGTGGGCGTGGTGTCCTGGGGCTTTGGCTGTGCCATGCCCAACTTTCCGGGCGTGTACTCCAGAGTAACCTACGTTCGTGAATGGATCAAGGAGCACAGCGGTGTTTAGCTAACTGAATGAATGAAATAAACGACCAAGGGAGGCTCCAGAAGTACCCGACCCAACAAATAACACACCATAAATATGATTTAAGATCTATGTGATAGTTGTACCGATTTTTTATAGTTTCAATGCCCTGAACTATATAGGTCATTAAAGAAACCGTCACAAACGTTTCTGCCTCGCCTACATATAATCATATAAAAACTAATAAAGTTTCAAGTTAAAGCTCCGAATAGATGTGAAAAGGTGGAAACCTATCATAGCTTAAAACTATTTAAAACCGCATTTCATTAACTCAACAATGTATAGTTTCATGAAAATCTTTCATTTTGTAATTATTTTAGTACACCAACCCCGCATTCTTAGATAGTGGAATTTTCTGGGCGGGGCCGGTTCTTTAAAAGCCAAGCGATTCCTTCTTTCCACTAGAGTCAAATTGACAATGTCAGTTAAGCTTGTGACTTGTTTTCTGCTCCAGACCGCAGCAGCTGTCCTGGCGGGCGTTCTCTCGATACCTCAGCCCATCCAGTTCCAAGGCTCGCTAATCAATGAGTTCTCCAGACAACCACCGCGTCTCGATGATCGTATTGTTGGTGGTCATCCTATAAACATAACAGATGCTCCATACCAAATCTCGTTACAATTTAAGTTGGAAGGACTCTTCAAACATAATTGCGGTGGTTCACTGATCTCGAAGGAGTGGATACTAACGGCAGCGCATTGTACTTTGTAAGTTGTTCTGGCTTCAGATTCTACGTTGAGAAAAAATAACCGCAATTCTTTCTAATACAGTGGCAAACAAGCTAATCAACTACGCGTGCGGTTAGGTACCTCAGAAAAAAGTAGAAATGGACAGGTCCTAAGAATCAAAAAGATTGTTAACCACGAAAAGTACAAAGATAAAATTTACGATTATGATTTTTCGCTGCTGCAGCTGGAGGAACCAATTGAATTCGATGAGACCAAGCAGCCTGTTCAGCTGCCGAAGCAGGGCCAAGAGTTCAAGGACGGCGAAATGTGTTATGTTAGCGGCTGGGGCGAGACACGAAACTCTACTGAGTCAAACGAATGGCTACGCCAGGTGAAGGTGCCGCTGGTCAACCAGGAGGAGTGCAAAAAGAAATACAGTCGATATAACGGTGTGACAGATAGCATGATCTGTGCTGGCTATTCGGAAGGTAGCAAAAATGCCTGTCAGGCCGATTCTGGTGGTCCATTGGTAAATGGGGACGGCGTGTTGGTGGGCGTGGTGTCCTGGGGCTCACTGTGCGCCTTGCCCAACTATCCGACCGTATATGGTAGAGTATCCCATGTTCGTGAATGGATCAGGGAGCACAGCGGTGTTTGATAAGCTAACTAACTAAATAAAAAACCTACAATATGCAGCAATAATAAAATCATAAAATAGCCTCGAGTCATTTATCCACATCTATCCCAAACTACAACGTCCACGACGACAAAACTGGTGGTTCATACATACATAGCTCAGCGAGAGCAACCTTGATCGGACTGATAGCTGAGTCGATTTATTGAGTTCATCAGTCCGTCCATTCATCAGCCCATATGTGTGTAAACATAGATTTCAATACCGAAGAGCCTTAGATTAGAGAAATCATTTTGCAAGGTCCTGAATAGCACCCGACGATCGTGGCAGTTTCAGAAAATCAATTCCGATTCCCTTTGGTCCCAACACTATTAATGTTATTGATTAATATCGATACCAAATTGCTTCGCTTTATCTGGCGCTCTAAGGATACATTTTTTACTGAATTTTCTTTAAAAATATATGGCATTGTTGATACAGGATTTCCGCCCCAACGTAAATAAAATTTAATATGTTCGAAAACACATATCGGACGGGGCTCAAACGATCTCCTGGTCCCTCCCTAACCATGCAAACTAGAGCTTGTTTCAATTTGTTTTATCAAGATTAAATAATACAACTCAAATGCAAATTATTAATGAAAGCAAAGTTATATAAATGCAGAAATAAATTAAAAATATGTAAAAGTAATTTACTCGACAATCAATACGTGTATTATATGTATAAGAAGAACGACCCGAAGAAAATATGACACGAGAAAAATTATTGCAGACCATAACACACTTCTTCGCTTTAAATGAACCCTTTTTTTTTATCTAGAAACTAATAAAGTTTCAATATAATGAGCAAAGTTTAGATTAAATGAGCAAACAGGTAACTTAAGGCAAGGTAATCTACGGCAATTTAAATCACCTTTTCATAAAATACAAAAAAAGCACCAAGGGCCATTCCTGATTTGTCTATCACTTAAAGAAATATTTTGAGCATCCATTTTCTAATTATTTTTATATGACAACTCTTAAATTGTGGGTTAGATAATCGTTTTCTGGACTGGGCCAGTCTTATAAAAACCCAGTGCTTTCTTCCTTCCATCAAAGTCAGATTAACAATGTCAGTTAAGCTAGTGACTTTTTTGCTGCTCCAGACAGCAGTAGCTGTCCTGGCGGGCGTTCTCTCGATACCGCAGCCCGTCCATCGTCAACCATCGCTAATCAATGAGCTATTCAGACAACCACCGCGCCTCGATGATCGTATTGTTGGTGGTCAACTTATAAACATAACAGATGCTCCATACCAAGTTTTTTTGGAATCTCCTGAATATTGCGGTGGTTCACTGATCTCGAAGGAGTGGATACTAACAGCAGCGCATTGCACCTGGTAAGTCGTTCCGGGAGCATATTTCAATTTCAGAGATTAACCCCTATTCCTTCTGTTCCAGGGACTCAGAAGCCAGTTCTGTACTCGTGCTGTTGGGCACTACTGAAATTCTCGGCAATATGCACCTGCTAAAAATCAAAAAGAAAGTTGAACACGAAAAGCACAACCGCATTAATTTAGATTATGATTTTACGCTGCTGCAGCTGCAGGAACCAATTGAATTCGATGAGACCAAGCAGCCTGTTAAGCTGCCGAAGCAGGGCCAAGAGTTTGAGGACGGTGAAATGTGTTATGTTAGCGGCTGGGGCGACACACGGAATACTGAGGAGTCAGACGAGTTCTTGCGACAGGTGCAAGTGCCGCTGGTCAACCAGGAGGAGTGCAACAAGAAATACAATCGATATAACGGTGTGACAGATAGCATGATCTGTGCTGGCTATCCGGAAGGTGGCAAGGATTCCTGTAAGGGCGATTCTGGTGGTCCCTTGGTAAATGGGGACGGCGTGTTAGTGGGCGTGGTGTCTTGGGGCCATGGATGCGGCGTATCCAACTATCCGGGCGTGTACGGTAGAGTATCCCATGTTCGTGAATGGATCAGGGAGCACACCGGTGTTTGATTAGCTAACTGAGTGAATAAATGATCTGAGTATGCAGCCATACGAAATTGCTTTCCACTCATATTCCACACTTACCCAGAGGGTAGCACACGCTGTCATCACGCAGCCTGCCACCAAGGTCCAATCACGCGACCTTCTTGCTCTGCGCACATTATGGCAACGCATGTACAGGAAGTCGCGTTGCGTTGTCAGGAATGTGACAAGGATATGTGCGTAGCTGTGGGTCCTTTTCAGATGTGTTTGTCTCTAGCCGTTGTACCATTTGCAAATTACGTTTCCGATTAGGTTTCTAGTTATGCGAGCGTATATACTATTAATACTACGTATTCAAATTTAATCTTTAATTTCAGCTGATGATTAAACTGTAGTTGGACTCGTATATTTATAGGGAAGGTATAAAATGCCCTATGCGCAATGCCCAATGCACAATTAAAGTGAAACAAAGTTGCTCCAAATCTCATATTTTGTTCCATGCTATTTCAAAATCAATTTTTTTAAATAATTATATTAATAATAATTTACATCAGTTAAATATTTATTCGTATATCTGTAGTTATTATATTATTATATTATATTATATTATATTAGTTGTTGAGGCCAATAGCCGATGCAGAGTGTCGCACCCTGAACTTGATAATGATCATGGAAGCACACACACAGAGGCACACTCATATACACACACGTACGCATACGTTAACACAAACCAAATGCCGAATTGCTTATTTCATTTTCTTTTATTTTGTGCCCGAGAATTTTGCCATTGGATATACTTACAACGATCGTCCGTAATTGCGATTATGTGGACTGCTGTTTGACATTGGCATTAGAGCTGTTGCAGTCGCGTGGAGCTGACGTGCTCGGGGCTCGCGCCAGCAGACGACGTTGAAGTGAAGTGTTGTTGTTTTTCATTTTGTTTTTCATTTCATTGCATTTCATTGCGCATACGCCTCGTTAGCTGACCAACTGTTGAGTCGACGTTGTGTAAAAATAGCCCAAAGGCGAACACTGTTATTCAACAGCAGACAATGAAATGTGGTTGGGAGTGTGGGTGAAACCACTGGCATAAACATCACCACCACCAATGTCCCCTCCACGCCCACCTCGACCATCAACAGCAATACGAAAACATCAAGAATCAATAGAGAGCAACGGGCTGTCGCTGTCGTTATTGTTGTCGTTGTCGTTGCCGAAGGGAAGCGACGTAGGTTGAAATCGTTTAACGGTATGTGATTATTATGGTTACACTGTCACGCACACATACCCACATGCATACACACCGACACACACAAAACAAACGTGCCGCACGTTGCGGCTACACGTGAGCAACTCAAACAACCCGAACGGGCCGTGTGCGGGAGCGAGAGAGAAGCATTTAGAACCAGAGAGCTTCGTCACACAAACACAAGCCGACAGCCGGCACAACGGCAACTGGTGGCCGAAGCTTCCATCGCCTCACGTCGAGTGCAATGTGAATGTGAACGTGAGCACGCGACTGTGTGTGTGAGAAAAAGCTTCGGCTCGCTGCAACGGCGGCTTCCACTAGAGCAGCAGTGCGAATCCATTGAACATTCAACGTTGCGAGCTTCAAGCAAACGGTTCGTGCTATTGCGTCGCGTGATTCGATACACATCAGCAAGATATATAGTCAATATAATAATAAAAAAAAAACTAAAAACGCATTAGATATTATACATTCACATAAGAAGCGCAAGCTTGTGGAATGATTTAAACGCACAGCTTGCAAGTGCAGCAAATTATTTGCGAGTGGCAAAACAAAATTTAGAGTATTTAGCTAATCCATTCTGTTTCGATGTAAGTCTAAGTGTGAGTATATATTAATGTGTGTGCGTGTTGATGGCAGTGAATAATATTCTAAGCAATTAATAAAAGTGCAAATGATTGTTGTTGTTGTCTTGTTGCATTTTACGTAAGTTGAACTTGAGTTGCGTAAGGTGCACAAATCATTTAAATAAATTTAGATAATAAAATATTCTATAAAGTGCAAAATGTTGAAAGCGTCCAATTTATATTTTATTTTATTATTTTTTTTTTTATTTTGAACCTAGATTTTAATTGACAAATTCACAAACTTGTTCTGATTGTTCAACAAAAGAAATATAATATAAAGAAATTTAAGCTGCGCAAAGAAATTAATCACATTCAACAATTATTCAAATTGAACTACACCAAAATAATAAGTTAACCACTGTGGAATAACTAACAGCTGCAGTCGTCACAGAAAGTAGAATCGGGTAAGCATCATTATAATATATAATACGATCTACACGCTCTATCTTAGTATTCTACGTCCCATGCAGTAAAGCTTTAAACAAAAGTTTAGGCCCACGAAGCTTTCGCCATTCAAAGCGTCAAATTCAAAACTGTTACTAATTCGCCAACTAAGCGTTTTTAGGGCTTGAAATTAATAGAGCGTCGTCTGGGTTGCTTTGTCCCAGTTCGTTTTGATAGCATTGTATTGCCTAGCACACAAGGCGGAAGTATGCCAGCGGTTATATAACAAACATGCACAGAAGCACATTTTTGAAATTTAAATATTCACTCAACACAATTCAAACAGATCAGCAAAAAAATGCATTCGATCAGCAGTCACTGACCCGCCGTACAGCCTGTAAGGGAGTAAATTCTCATATGAAACATTTCGAGAAAAATTTTGAAAAGTATGCATTTTTTTTTTTAATACGATCTTAAGTAATTTGACAAAAATTCACTTAAAAAATATATATAAATTGAGTTTTTTAAATTTATTTTTGTGTGTTTACTTGTCTTAAATTTAGAATTTTCTAGCCTTTTCCTTCAAGTACGCTTTGTGGTTTACACCGCTAAAAGCTAAGAAAATTAAACTTTGAGCTCATCTAAGTTTTAGTTGCGATTTACCTATATATAAAAATCGTTCAAACGGTTGACTACATCATAGAGATCATTAATTAATTGTACAACAATTGAAAAATTTGGAAGTCCTTAGGACAAATATTTTACATATTTTTAATATTTAAAATATGATCATTTAATTTTTTTTATTTATTTATTATTATTTTTTTTTTTCGTAGAAAAATATTAAATATATTTTCAAATAATAACTCAGAGTATAGGTTGTGGTAGGCTATTGAAATAGGCTAATGACTTATCTATTTTGTATATACCTATATTTATACATTCTACCCAGATTCTTCTATAGACTTCAAATACGTTTTAGATTTACCTAGAAGCTGTCCATTCTGTTTGTATCATAAATGCATATATATATGTTCAAGCCAAGTCGTTATGTCTCTGTGTTTGACAGTCATTTTGATAGCTATTCAAAAATTGTTTTCCTCTTTTGATTTGCAATGTAAAATTTGCCAATCAGACATATTGATTTGTTAATATTCGCATAAGCAAACTTTTATTTATGACTCTGAAAAGAAAGGAAAAAGTTGTCTAGAGCACCGTATCAAATGTTAAATATACGTTCGCTTGTTTTGAATGAATTTCACTCTGTTTTTGCGAAAGAATGAAAACGCATTTTGATTACAAATGCAATGCGCATATCGTTAATCTTATCTAGTCTTTTATTTTATTTATTTTTCTCCATTTGCTGTTTGTGAAGCAAATTTTATGTAAGCTCTCTTTGAAAGTTTATTTGGTTTCATAACTGCTGGCGGAAACGGAATTGGGGCTGTACTTTCAAATCGCCACAACAATAGAATAGTGTAGAAAGCATGTAAAGTAATCCATATATACTTATGCGTGTGTGTGTGCATGTATGTGTGTGTCATGGTAGAAGGTAAATCTAGAAACAAGTTGTGTGCATATAATAGAAATTTAAATTAGCTTTACAATTTTAGTAGCCTTAGAAATAGTTTTTCTAAAAAAAATAGGCATTAATAGAAAATACAAATTTGTTATCAATTTTATGTAAGCAAATATTATATTTATTTATTGCATTGATTATGTATAAAAAATCACAGATCAAATGTTGTATATAACTATACAAAATATATAGTCTATGTGATTTTATTATATTGCTCAACTAAGAAAAACTTCGTAAACATAATATTTAATTAAAAATTGATTAGTTACTTACTTACGTATGTATACAATATATATTTGTATTATATATATTTGGTGTAAGATTACTCACAGCAGTTTATTGACCTGCTCAGAGTACAAATATGTATATTCATCTATACGTAACATAAAAATCTAATATATGTACTTATGTATATACGAATTGTAATCTCATCTCCCTCACACATATCACTGCCCCTTGAAGACGATAGCCTATACTATATTGATATTGATAGTATAATAACGTACTATTTATATACCATTGTCCAATGAATTCAATAGATTCACATGCACGCACATGCTCTAGAATGCACACAGTAGATGTGCTAAATATAGTTTAGCTCACTTGTTGCACTTTTTAGTACATCATTTAATGCTTCCGCTGAAAAGTATGCAACGATATTTGTATGCCAATAGCGCACCAAGCCAGCTTGGGCTATAAATCAATATTAATTAATAGACGCTGACATTGACAGAACTGCAACACTTTCTTGCGGTGCATGGGGAGGCGTGTCATGTGCATAAAAAATTCATTGAAGCATTGTTAACCAGCGAAAATGCTTACATAATAGTAGAAGGGAAAACTACAGCAGTGTTGTTGTGATGTGTGTGAGTGTGTATACATACATATGTGTGTGTGTGTGTGTGTAAGTCACATGCGGACTGCGTATGCCTGTCAATGCTTATGCTTCGAATGATTACGTATGCGACAAGAAGGGCAGGAGATTGGGGCTAACGTCTTTCTCGTTCTCCATTTCCATATTGCAGTCCATGTCTTGGAGGGTGAGTGGGGTGTATCAAGGGGGCGTGGTTACATGACTATAGTTGCTGCTGCCAGCAAATCGACATCAGCTGAACAGCTGAATAGGCACGTGTTGGCAACGTATATGTGCGCCTCAACGAGTCGCATTATCCTGCCCGCTGTGCTTGCACATTGCGCGGCCCGATATCCCAATGTCAGCCGGGCTGAAAGCGAGAGGGCTTCTCTATCTGTGTGAGTGGTGCTTTGTTGCAATCGAGAGACTCAGCGCTTGGGGCGCTGGTCACATGCAGTCAAGTGTGTGCGCAGCTCTGGTTTCTATTTATGGCCCGCTTTGTGCCACGAACTTCAAAGCCTCGCCAGTTGAACGGCAAATGATTCATGCCAGCTATTGAATTCATGCAGAATAAGAATAGTTGTCTTATTCAATTGATTTGAATTATTTTGATTCGCCATAAGAGCGCAACATGTGCCGATGCTTATCTTCCAGCTGGTTCACAATTGACAGTTAATTTTGGGATATTTGTTTCTCGTTCTAAATAGGATAGCTTGAAATGAATTTAAAAATGCCACAAAGCAAATACTTTCATTGCATAATTAAATTTGTTGTATTTGCTTTGCCGAAATTCTGCTTATGCCATCAAATGTCAGCTGCAAATAAAATTGAATATAGAATAAAAATAAACTATTAAAAAAATTAAATATAATTAAAAACAAAAGTAGAAATTAATAATTAATGATTTTAGTTTCATACAATAAATGTGAATAATTTGAAATATTAACATTAACTGTACTTTAAGAATTTATAAATAAGTCAAAGGCCTCTGTTCCGGTATCTCTTGATCCGTTGATATATAAAGTTCTTGGAGGTGGCTTTCATATGATTGTAGTTTGTCCTATGCTATTCTTTTTTAAAATTTTAAATAAATACTGAATTTAAAAAAAAAAACACAGTTAATCATCTCATAGTTAATGATGTCTATCCTTCAGTATTAACTGAGAAATTAATAATTGAAAATATTATTTCATTTTAAATAAATATTGCAGTAAGCATTTAAGTCAAAGTAAACTGTAATTTTCTCAACCATTTCGCATACCGCTTTCAGCACTTGCCATCAATCGTCCTTTGTCCTTGGTTAAGGATCGTCTTGTATGTTCAACTCTGACAATGTGCCACAGTTGGCAGACTAGGAATCAAAGCTTAATCTACGAGTATAGCAATCTAGACTTTAAATAAAGCTGATTTGTTATGGACTGGTTACTAGCAACGCCTCAGTTGCATAGCGTCTTCTCCTCGCTGGGCTCCCTTGTGGGAGACACGTACGTGGTCAGCCCCAATGCATTGGGTAAGTTTCGGGTCCATGAGATAGATGTTCGTTTAGCTGACGTATTCCTTTCGACGCTAGCCATATTGAAGGAGATCAACTACAAGCTCACCTATGAAGATCAGACTTTGCGCACCTTTCGCCGTGCCATTGGCTTTGGTCAGAACGTGCGCTCCAATTTGATCCCATTGCTGGAGAATGCCAAGGACGATGAGGTGCTGGAGTCTGTCATACGCATTCTGGTCAATCTTACCGTGCCGGTGGAGTGGCTATTCTCCGTTGATATTATGAATCGCACGGAGGTGGGCCGACACACCATCTTCGAGCTGAACAAGCTGCTCTACAGCTGCAAAGAGGCCTTCACCGATCCGAAGAGCACAAAGAGCGTCGTTGAGTATATGAAACATATTCTGGAGTCGGACACAAAGCTGTCGCCCCACAAATGCGATCAGATCAACAACTGCCTCCTGCTGCTACGCAACATTCTCCACATACCGGAGACCCACGCCCACTTCCTGATGCCCGTGATGCAGTCGAACGGCGGCCATCAGGTCTCCATGCAGAATACCATATTGTGGAATCTCTTCATACAGAGCATCGACAAGCTGCTGCTCTACCTGATGACCTGTCCGCAGCGAGCGCTCTGGGGCGTGACCATGGTACAGTTGATCGCGATGATCTACAAGGATCAGCATGTGAACACCTTGCAGAAGCTGCTGAACTTGTGGTTCGAGGCATCGCTGTCGGAGAGCTCCGAGGACAACGAGAGTAACACGTCGCCGCCGAAGAAGGGCAGCGGCGATTCCAGTCCCATGCTCACCTCGGATCCCACCTCCGACTCCTCGGACAATGGCAGCAATGGCGGCAGTAGCAGCAACGGCAAGAAGGAGGGCTGCGATGAGCGGCGTCAGGCTCTGCGCGAGGGCACCGAGGCCACACTGCAGGAGGTCAGCCGCAAGGGGCATGAGTATCAGAATGCCATGGCCCGGGCGACGGCGGACGAGCCGAATGCTTCAGAGGGGGCCAACGATATTTTCGAGGCCCCCTGCTCGTCGCAGCAGCAGCATTTGAGTACCGAGGAGGCCATGGACGCCATCGACTATGAGGAGCAGGCACAGGAATACCTGCAGGAAGCGGCTGCCGTCAGTTCGGAGCCCCTGAATCTAACACAACCAGCTGACAATGTCAACAGCACTACCAATGCGGTGTACGCTAGCACCACCGCCACAGAGACCCGCACCACATCGTCCTTGTGTGGAACAACTAGCCTCTGCTACGAGCCCTTCAAGCCGCCGGCACCGCTGCCCTCACGGCGGAACACCCTGTCGGAAATGCTGTCGGACAGCTATACGCCGCACTCGCACGTCTCGGCCGTCAAATTGGGCCAGAAGTCCTCGCATGCGGGCCAACTGCAGCTGACCAAGGGCAAGTGCTGTCCGCAGAAGCGAGAGTGCCCCTCCTCCCAGTCGGAGCTCTCGGACTGTGGCTATGCCACCCAGGTGGAGAACCAGGAGTCCATCTCCACATCCAGCAACGATGATGACGGACCCCAGGGCAAGCCGCAGCATCAGAAGCCGCCGTGCAACACGAAGCCAAGGAACAAGCAGCGCACCCTCATGTCGCCCCAGGACAAAAAGGAGCTGCGTCGCAAGAAGCTGGTCAAGCGCAGCAAGAGCAGCCTGTGAGTACTGAATGTGAAGTAATTGAAGACCTAATTGATATTCCCGTCAACCATTTGCAGCATCAACATGAAGGGTCTGGTGCAGCACATGCCCACAAACTATGATATATCCAATTTGCTGAAGGAGTTCACAGTTGACTTTTTGCTCAAGGGCTACAACTATTTGGTGGAGGAGCTGCACAAGCAGCTCCTAACGAGTACGGTAAGTCGATTCATCCATCGTTTGGGAATCTCAACTGATCGAGCTCTGTCTTTTCATCCAGAAGGTGCTCATTGACACGTCGCACTTCTTCTGGCTGGTCACATTCTTTCTGAAGCTCGCCGCTCAACTGGAGCTGGACATGGAGCACATTGACACCATACTCACCTACGACGTGCTCAGCTATCTCACCTACGAGGGCGTCAGCCTCTGCGAGCAGCTCGAGCTGAACGCCCAGCAGGAGGGCAGCGATCTGCAGCCCTATTTGCGGCGCATGCACCTGGTGGTCACGGCCATCCGCGAGTTCCTGCAGACCATTGAGACGTACAACAAGGTGACGCACCTCAGCGAGGACGATCGCCAGCGCTTGCACCAGCTCCAGCTGCAGATCGGCGCCACCTCGGATCTGCGTTGTTTGTTTGTGCTGCTGCTGCGACGCTTCAATCCGCGCATCCATTCCAAGCAGTACCTGCAGGACTTGGTGGTGACCAACCACATCCTGATGCTGATCCTCGACAGTGCTGCCAAGCTGGAAGGCGGCCAGACCATCGGACTGTCCGAGCATATTGCACAGTGAGTCAAAGCATGAATCCCCAATTGAATGGAGTCGTTCAATTTCTGCTGCTCCCATTAGATTTGCCACTCTGGAGGTCATGCACTACTACGGCATTCTGCTAGAGGACTTTGATAACAATGGCGAGTTCGTCAACGATTGCATCTTTACCATGATGCACCACATCGGCGGCGACCTGGGCCAGATTGGCGTGCTCTTCCAGCCAATCATACTAAAGACGTACTCTCGCATCTGGGAGGCGGACTACGAGCTATGCGACGTAAGTTTGTTTGGGCGAGATTTAAGTCGTTTATCATTCATGATATATTCATCTATCATGCAGGATTGGTCTGATCTCATTGAACATGTTATACACAAGTTTATGAACACGCCGCCCAAATCTCCCTTGACCATACCAACAACGTCGTTGACTGAAATGACGAAGGAGCATAACCAGGAGCACACTGTTTGGTAAGCTTGGCCTAGCTGGAGTGTAGCCGACCGGCAGATACTCTGGACAGAATTTGATGTTTTATTATTGCAATTGCAGCACCTGGTCGCAGGAGGAGATGGACACTCTGTATTGGTATTATGTGCAGAGCAAAAAGAACAATGATATCGTGGGCAAGATCGTGAAGCTCTTTAGCAATAATGGCAACAAGCTGAAGACTCGAATTTCCATCATTCAACAGCTGCTGCAGCAGGTATGTACCAGATAATTGTGTCACGAATTCCGAGTGTCGCTAATCTATTGGGAAACTCGGCAGGATATCATCACTTTGCTGGAGTATGATGATCTGATGAAGTTCGAGGATGCCGAGTATCAGAGAACACTGCTAACCACGCCCACATCGGCCACAACCGAGTCGGGCATCGAGCTGAAGGAGAGCGCCGCCGGCAAGCCATCCGATGATGTACAGGTGGGTTGGGAGCTTAGTTGGGCCTAGATTATAGCAAACGACAATCGACTTCTTATTTAGATTTTGCTGGATCTGATTATTAAGGAGCACAAGTCGTACCATCTGGTCTGGCTGCAGAAGCTGCTGCTCGAGTGCTGCTACATCAAGCTGATGCTCAAGTCCGGCAGCAGTCTGGCCGACGCGGATCCCATCATGGAGCCAGTGGCCTATCACTACATATACAAGCAAAAGTCCATTCCGGTCGTCCAGTGGAACAACGAGCAGTCGACAACGATGCTGTATCAGCCGTTTGTCCTGCTGCTCCATAAGCTGGGCATACAGCTGCCGGCGGATGCGGGCTCCATATTCGCTCGCATTCCGGACTATTGGACGCCGGAGACGATGTTCGGGCTGGCCAAGAAGCTGGGACCGTTGGATAAACGTGAGTTACTCAAATTGAAGGTGATGTATATACCGGTATCAATAATTTTTGCTCTCTTTGTCGACGACACAAATTTTGATTATGGGAATCTCGCCCGCATCCACTCGCAACGTCATTTCATTTTCTTCAACCTAACGTAAATCGCTCAACTAATCTATGCGCCATGTCTAACTCTCCTCAAATCTATTCCGCTTTGCATCTCACAAAACATCTCTCTCACTGTGGCTGTGTGTGTCTGTTAATCGGTGTATTTCGATATGCTCTGTGCCTCTCTCCTCTGCTCCTCATTTTCGGCTCTTGTAGTGACGCTCAAATTCGATCCCAGCGAGCTGGAGGAGACGCCCTCGTCGAGCGCCTCGTCGCGCTATCATCTCACCGGCGCCCGCAATTCCCTCAGCTCCATTGGCAGCCTGGACGCCGACTACGTGGAGCCCGAGGAGCTGGCGCTCATACCCGAGGTAGATGCCGCCGTGGAGAAGGCAGCGGCAGCCGGTGCGGCCATTGCTGTCAGCGACATCTTTGCCGTGCCCAAGGCCAAGCATTGCAACTCGATCATCAGGTGCGTAGCTCAGCTCTCCCTCTCTCTCTCTCTCTCTCTTTGTGTGTGATTGACTGATTAATTGTATGTTGGTCTTTCTTGATCTCTCTGTTGGCAGGTACACACCAGATCCGACACCGCCTGTGCCCAACTGGCTGCAGTTGGTCATGCGCAGCAAATGCAATCAGCGACCCGGCCCAACAGCCGACACCGGCGATTGGTAAGTGCCATAAAAAGAGAAAAAAGCAAAACAGTTGACCAAGTGCCCGAAAGGCCCAGAAAGCCAACAGATTTATGGCACACGGCAGCCGTTAAGACGCTCGCTCTGCAAACATATTGTTTACATGGCGCCCTCAATGCAATTTATGAACTTTAAGACCCGACTCCGCATTTACTTTCGTGTGTTGACAGTTGTCGTTGCCTTTGCGGTTGCCGTTGCACCACTCGCAGCCTGCAGCTTGCAGCTTGCAACAACTCTCACAGCTCGCACTAAATGTCAGCCCATTGTTGGCCATTGTCTGGTGTGTTGGTTAAAGCCTAGAACGGTTTGTGCTCCCCCTGCCTACCCCTTAACTTAATTCATAAGCTTGTGCATCCGTATTCGGCACTGTCCATATACATATATATACATATGTGTATGTGTGTGTGTGTGTACATGCATATATCTAGTTGTTTGCATCTCGGTGGAGGCTTACGGACCTCACACGATCTGCCTGCTGCTCATGTTGAACGGCATTTTGCGTACTGTTTATGATAGCATTTTTTCTCTCTCTCTTTTCGTGTTGTTGCACAGTGCTCCAAGATCGCAGATAAATGCACCCTGAACTATTGATATGGGGGAAATACATGTATACAAAAACTGGGCAGCTGAATTGACTTGGGCAGGTTCGCAGCAGGCAAAAGGTTGCTTGGAAAACTTTTGATCTTTTTGAGCAGCAGGTTAAACAGGCTTAGATAACTAAGATATATTTTCATATATATTTCAGCTGGGTTAAAATTTCTGATTCTAAAAATATTTTAGAGTACAGTACCATAACATTATAAAAACAAAATGTAAGAATGTTTTTCAATATTCTAAAACATGCTAATACAATCCAAAAATTCATAAAGATGAGCTTAAATTCTTAAGCGCATTTCCTAGTCGCCTTCTGCCTAAAATACCCTAGTTTCTATTTCGCTCTTTTTTCTGTTGAACAATATTGTCGTTTGACACCTTTAAAGTTTCTGCATCAGTTTCTCGCGAATCAGAGGCTGAATTCAAATCAATGCTGTGTCCATGAGATACATTGTCTGACCCGTGTCAGCGCACCCAGCTCAACACGAAATGAAGTCATCGCGATTAGCACGTGCAGCGCTTGTATCTTGACTCCAATGCATTGATGGAGTCGAGTGCCACGTCGCAGCGTGGACGGTAGCAAAAATATCAATATGGATACGAATTAATTAAGCCGACGTGGCGCAAAAGCATTGCGACCTCGTTCACTAATCAAAAATAATACTCAGAAGGTTCACTGAGGGAAAAAGGGGTTTAGCTGAAGCTAGAGTCGAGAGATGATATAAAATAAAATTGAATTTTGGTGAAAATGAAATTAATTAAATTATAATAAAATATATACATGTATAAATATATAATAATAAATTATATATAAGTTTTGACATGTAGCCTACAAAAAAAGAAAATTAAATAGAATTATAACATACTATTATTAATAAATGAGAAATTAAATAATATTAATAATAATAATAAAATTAAAAAAATAAAAAATAAATTAAAAAAATTATATTTAAAAAAAGTTTTTTAATCATAATATTTAAAAATAAACGTGAACTAAATCAAAAATTAAAAAATAAACAAATAAAAATAATATATAATATAATATAACAACAATTATAAAATAAAAAATTAATATATTTTATACTTAATTAGAAGTATATAATTATACATCTTTAGCTAATATATCCTCAATTAAAAATTATTAAATTTTTCTCGCAGCGTAATAAATTGATCAAGCCTCGAGACATCTAATCAGTGCTCACAGCTTCAATGTTAATTGCCAATTTGCAATTGGCCCATTGTTGCTATAAGCAAAAGTAATTTAAATTGTTCTTTGGTACAGGCAATAAATGAACGATAAATTTAATTGGAGCTCAAAGCAGACCGACAATGCTCAAACAATACTAAATGACATTTGGCAAATGTTAGAAATGCATCCTCAGCTCGATTCAATAGCATGGGAAAAACGCGTAGACAAAGACAACTTTGCACTGTTTTTTTTTCGAGTTTCAAGTTTCTTCTCAATTTGTTGTTCAATAACGCTTTGCATTCTACACTGTGATGGTATTTTATTTATTATATTAGGGAGCTTTGCTACATTTTGAGCGCTAATGTGAAACGAGTTTTGTGCCAAAGTAAAAGTCAAATGCCCGCAAGCTAAAGATCGCATCCGCAGATATTTGTCGCATGCGTGCAGAGCTCACAGTTATCGCAAACAAGTTCTTCTGCATTCGCACATACGAATTCAAACCCTGATGTTAGTTAGCTAAGGCTAAAAGCCAAACTGATTTATACCATTGATATTTTGTTTACCAAATCAATTGCGTCAGTTCTTGGCCTAGGTGTGGTGCCTGACGCTTGGGGACAGGTTTCAATTAAAGCTCAATGAGCGATTCGAGAAGCGGATTCTTTGATAGCACACAAAGCCACTTTGACAAGCTGCCGATAACTTGGACTCTAAGTAGCCAAACCAGCATTAGAATGGCATGGCTGAGACTTAATGTGCATCTTCACGCCCATTCAGTGTTTACACTTGGCATATAAATAATGTGATTAATAATCGTTGTTTAGCTATCGATTTGGCAACGACAAAAATATGTGTTATTTATTGTTATTATTGTTGGCTTGGTTCGTATTTCATGAAGATCTAACAAACAGATAGCTGGAGATTCTCTGTAATAAGGATAAAATATTAAATATTTCTCATATTGATTCAGAGTTTCATATATAAATAGATAACTATCATCAAACTAACCCACCATATAATAATAATATAATAATATATATATAACCCACCCCAATGGGTATACCGAATCCTTAGGCTGTTTGCAACATCATCCATCAAATGCTCAACATCCTAAAGCAGATCAACATTCAACTCCATCTATCACTGTCAGTCTAGCCATATAAACTAGAATAGTAGTAGCTGCTGCTCAAGAGGTTCAAGGCGTCGCCTACTTGGGCACTCCCGGCCAGGGTTTATTTGCTAACTGTGTCAATTAATTGCTCCGCTGATTTTGATTGACAGCGCGGTGAAAGATAACAAGAGACAGCAAAGAAAACGACTTCATATGGAATATTACTTATAGCTATGACAGTCTCAATTCACAATAGATGTTAGCATCTCGGTGGCATTTAGCACTTGACTGGCTCTAACATAACAGCAATTAATGACAACTGAACAGTATTTTTAAGTGACTTCGAATTCGACACCAAATTTTATTGCCGATTTGACAAATCAGCCGCAAATGACATGAAAACATGAACGAGATATGTGACTATGTATTAAACAAGATAAGTTTTGAGTGGCAGAAACATAATACGCGTTGTGCAGAAGTATTTATTAAACAATTGTCAAAGATATACGTGCTATGATGTGAGATATATAAGTTAAATTCATTTGACATTCTTATCTATAGAAGATCTATGATAACTGAGACTAGGCAAGAACACTCTGAAAAATCGAAAAATTGAAAAAAACAAAAAAAAAAAAAAACACAAAAATAAATATATATAAATTTTTTCTTATTTTGATTATATTAGAATTTCTAATTTAGAAATCAGTATATCCTCCGAAATATCTTACTATACTTTAAAAATTTAATTATGATATATAATATGGAAGCTAAACCCGTTTATCTGCTCGACTATATAAATCCGAAAATTGACAAAATACATATATACATATGTATAAAAATGTATATGTTATACCTATGAATATGATATCATGTATTACATTTAAACATATTTAAAAATTGTAAAACAATTTATTTATTTATTTATTTTTTTTTTTTTTGTATATTTTTTTATATATCTAATTTTATTATGATTACAATTAAAAAAAAAATTTTTTTATACATTTTTATTTTTTCTCTGTCATCTTTTCTATTATTTTTTGTATTTATCAAGTAGCTGCACTTTATTTCTTAATCTCCATTACAGTTTTTTTTGCATATACATGCATATATTTTTTCAATTTCTAACCCGCTCTAACCCAAACGCCTTTCGTAGTCTTTGGCTTGCTTTGTTATTAATAACTTTTGCGCAAATTAACACAATGGCCTTAGCAAGTGGGCACGAGGCACAGTTATTTCATGGATTTTACGCCTGCGGCGCGTGGGCGTTGACAAAATGCAATTTTCCAAAAAGTAATTTAATTTGACGCCTGGCGAAAATTGAAATTGACATTTGTTGTGCGGCCCACAAGGAAGTCAACGAGCAGCGAGCGATTCCAGCTGAAGCCGAAATGCCTTCACTCTAGGCGGACTGGAGCCGTGTGGGTCGACTCTCTGTCCGAAATGTCCCAGCGAGTGGCTGTCTGTCCATCTGTCTGTCTGTCTGCCAGTGGGTAAACAAATATGAGCATGCATTCAGCATAGCATTGCATTCTATTGTGGTTTGGTTAAACGGCAGCAGGCAGAAGACTTGGCCGAACACAAGTCGCAACTGCGGCGACCTTCTATGGGGCGCATTGCTGTTGTTTTTGGTTTAATTTTGCTCTTTTTTTTTGCATTTTTGGTTTTTTGTGGGTTTGGCCCGAAATGTTGTTAACATTTTGCTGCAATTTATGAGGCAACCGACAACAGACAACAGACGCGCGGCATTAAGCGCAACATGCTGAAAAACATGGACAGCAATTGCACTCTTTGGTGTGGATTGCAAAGCCACAGCACCACATCAATCAGTCGCATAAATCATTTTAATTATTAAATAAACAAGTTTCAAGCCGACTCGGCTAGGCTGACTCAGCAATTGCCACTGGGCCAGGCGCAGGGTGTGAGAATAAGCTCCTGGTAAATACAGTACAATATATTATACGTATATGTATGTATGCATACGAGCCAAGCCATCAAAGGGTTAATTGAGCAACGTTTGATGGCCTGTTTAGGTGTGCCTAGGAGCTACCGTGACTGAGATTATCCAATAAAAAGCTAAAATACTTAATAATTGGCCTTTTAATTGTTCTATTTAGTTCAAGTGGAGTATTTGGAGCATATGTTGAATATATACCAAAGACTACTTAAATTGGATATGAAAGGAAAGTGTTATACATGAGCTATAGAGCAGATGAAGAGAGAGCAAGGACTTCAAATATAGCTCGAGTATGAACTTAAGACAGATATAAACGTCCCTTATAAGAGATCTTTTATAACTCAATCATATATATCTCTATAGAGAGAGCTAATTATAATCAGCTCAACTATATTTAACTGACTTGGTCAACTTCCTAGAAACTTTCCTGACATTCCTTAAGTCTAATCACAGCAATCTCTCCCTCCTATTTCTCACAGCGTCACAGCTGGCGAAGACGAGGGCATGGGCAAGTCGAATGCCTCCACGCAGCAGGCGCCGTGCACAGCGAATCCGAGCAGCACGCTGGCCAAGCTGAACAAGTTGAGCAACTGTACGTTCATGTCGCCACCAAATGAGAACAGCAGCAGCTCCGGCTGCGGCGCCACGGTCTCATCGCAGTCAGCTGGCGTGCTGATGGGTAACAGCTCACCGGATGCGAATGCGAATGCGGATGCTCTGATGAAGTCGTCGTTCGAGCGGCTGGAGGTGACGGGCACACACTTTGCGCGACCAAATAACTTGGATCAGGAGTACAGTGCGATGGTGGCGTCGGTCTACGATAACGAGATTGCCAAGTGAGTGAGTTAGAGAGCTCTTGGGATTGAGATTGAGATTGAGCGGGCCAGCTAATTGACAATTAGACACATTGCGCAAATGCCATAAAGCCAGCGAGCGAGCGAGCGACCGATCGAGCCACTGACAGAATGTCAAGCTGTCAATATATATAAATATATACATATATATATATATATACATTTTATTGATTTATATACATATATATATATTGTATATATATTGAATGGTCGCCCTGCTGCACGGCGGAAGCATGCCAGGCATTTTTTCGACAGTGTCTCACATAAATTTATGGCGGGCAATTATTCAATTTAAGGCGAAATCGATTTCAACCAAATTTGGAGGCGGTTGCTTGTCCAACTCTAATATTAATTTATTTATCTATCCATCGGGCGGCCTCAAAAAAGGCGCGTCTATTTGGAATGCAAATCGGGTGCATTTGTATTTGGACACTGATATTCTCTGTTAACTGATTTTATTTCAGATTATTTATTTATTTACATTTTGTTTGATTTTGCTTTTTTGTTTGGGCTTGTTATTTACCCAGTTTGCTAATGCTTGCCGATGTCTTTTACATCTTCAATTCTCATCGCAGCAGTGACAATGTCTCAGTGGCTTCCGACTTGACCCGCATGTATGTCAGCGATGAGGATGAGAGGCATGAGTTCCGAGTGCCAGTGCCGCATTATCTTTGAGATTCGCAGGCAGAGGCAGAGGGTGAGAGAGTGTGACAGAGAGATAGAGAGAGAGAGAGAGATAGAGGGCGAGGCAGAGGGAAACACAGTGAGAAAGAGAGAATGTGTGTATGAGAGAGAGAGAGAGAGAGAGAGAGTGGTAGAGTGAGAGAGAGAGATGGATGTATATATTGAATGACAAAGGCAGACAATGAACAAACCCAGACCCCGATTTAAAGCAGTTTATTCAAGTACCTTGCACAGTTTTGCAACTCTATTAACCAATTATAATATCAGAATTATATATCATACATACAACAAAAATTATTAAAATATATTCAATGTTACATTCGTATTTAAGTCTTTATTATATAAATAAACTAGAACTAAGCAAAAATGAAAAACCATTTATATATTACTTTACCCTCGTAAAAAACACAAAATAATTTCAGATTTATAATCAAATATATATTTCATTGAAATTTATGTCTGCTATTTCTGTCCGCAACTTTTCTAGAAAGAATTTCTTATCTTTGACCTTCTAAATAATTCTAATAGTTAAACATAATCTTACAATATTACAAATGTATATTAATTAATAAACTATTTTAAACATGAACATAAAGTTTCCCACACTTTAAATCTATCTATCTGTTATAAAGAACAAAATAACTTAAACAATATATATAATTAAAGCTGTAAAAAATTGATTGAACAACAAATTGAATATCTATTCTCAAGGGTATGAAAAGTGCATTATTTTGTTAAAATCTTAAGTATGAAGAAAACAAGAAATACATATATAAATATATACTGAAAAGACATACAAATATATTGGAACTTTAGTAAATAGCTAATAAGATTAAGCAAGCCTTATGATTACTGTACTTGTTTAAAATACACAAATAGTACAATGGGCAGTTCCTGGTTGAAATAGTGCAAATATACAAATACCGCGAAAATATTTTTACACAAAATATTGCCGAAATGTTTCATATGTAAAGCTAAATTATATTTTAAGATGCACTTTACACACACACACACACACGAACAAAATTAACAATAATAAGAACAACAAGTATAAACTGTGTCTGTCTAGCTGTTATAGAGTGCATTATTATGCATTGTATGGATATTGTAACAAATAAAGCTTTCCTTGTAGTAATCCATGTTTTGTGTTCTGCTCGGCTGGGAAACATATTGTAGAGTTAGATACACCTCGGGGCCCACACGCTGTGCCACAGGCGAATACAAATGACAAAAAATCGAACTGCATTTGAACTCTGCTGGCCGGCTGGCCGAAAGATTTAAGCCGCTTGTGATATATGTGCCGCAAATTGGCGGAGCCAGAAGAAAAACGAGCTATGACCACTGCGAATTAAGGTCATTGGCGTTAGCGGAATCTGCAGCCAAAATCTGTAGCTCTGACTCGGACTGTGACTGTGACTGTGCCTCCGTGTTCCACGCATGTGCGGCCAAACGGTAGCCGAGCAAACAGTCTATATCTTAGACATGTGCTTAATATGGCCCAAGTGCACAGAGATATACAAATGTAGCGGCCAAAGCCCAGTCGACTAAAATGGTAAACATGCCAAAAACAATTACCAAATGCTGCAAAAGTCGAGAGCAAACAGCGAACAGCGAACAGCAAATATTGCACAAATAACCGTACGAAAATAATAATAATAATAATAATAATTGTGGCCAATTGCTGTTTAGTTGGCAGTTAATTGCAACATGGCCAAGACAATCGAGCTGCACGAGTTGCCCAGACTAAATGTTCTCCGGCGTTACAATTCTTTTCCTCACATTCAAAAGTCACTCGAGTCGCCGACAAAATGGCAAATGAACTAGTTCCAAATATTAATATTGCTTAGTTCACTCTAAGCATTTTATCCTTACAATTTTATATCCAGCATGAAAAGGCTAGCCAAATGTGTAAGTATTAATTTTTTAATTATAAAAAGAATTTAAAATAAAATTTAAGACTCAAACAGATACCAAGACAACAAAAATAAAATAAAAAGGAATTTTTATTTTCTATAAATGTAATTTATAGAAAAAAAAAATAAAATAAAATAAAAATTATATATTTGAATAAATACCATATAAATTAATTTTAAAAGTAAATATCTTTTTATTTTTGAGCAAATATCTTTTAATATTCATTTTTAGATATTATTGATAAATTAATATAATATAATTTTCCAAATAATTTTTGCATTATTTTATATGAACTAAATCTGAATATAAAATATCCAAGAGCCACTTCATCCGTAAATCAAATAAAATTTCTCTTAAATTGCTCTACACAAATCTTTGTTAAAAAATGTCGACTCATCTTCATTAAATATTAATTTCCGGTAAATTGGTTAGATAATAAAATGATAACAAATAAAAGCAATATGAAAACTATCTAAAAAAAAAAAAAATATTAATTATAAATAACTGTAATTTTTCTATGAAAATCTACTGCATAACATTTTTTTTATAAATTTCATTTTGGTATTGTTTAATATTTGTTTATATTTATTTATTGCTGTTGCTTAAGCACTTCATAAATTTCATTCAAAATATAAAATTGTGCTTTAGATCTAAGCACTGATAAGATGTTTTAAAAGCCATTCAGACACTCGAATTAATTTCAAGATGACGAGCAGCCAGACAGAAAGTGCGTTGCTCTAATTAATGTTTTCAATCCCAAAAATGTTTCATTAACTTGTTCAGCTTGTTTATGTTTCTTGGCCAAATATCCGAGTTTTTATTTATGAATATACAGGTTGCTTAAACAGCTGGGCTTTACCAATGCTCTAATGGCTAACATAAACACCAAATTGTGAATTGATAAATAATAATGTGGTCCACAATAATTTGCCATCCCTCGTTCTTCTTGCCAAATGCAGAATGCTGGCTCAGATACGGGGCTCACGTCGCGTCGTCGTGGCTGGTGACTGTCGTCGCAGCGACGGGACTGCTGCTTGGCTTGGCTTGGGTTGGCTTGGGCTATGGCTTTTTGGTTTTGGCTTTGGCTTTGGCCGTGCCGCAATTACCAAGACAGGCAGCTAATTTTATTTGCTGTAAACGTGCGCCTCCATCTCTTGTCTGTTATTATTATTGTTGTTGCTGTTGTTGTTGTTATTTATGCTGACTTATTGTCGGTGGGAATTATTTGACGATGACTTTTCAGGCGTTGCGTGTCTGGGCCGCATTAGCCACTAAAAATCAGAAGTCAGTCGGAATAGACAAAAGGCGCCTACGTCAATTGAGTTGTCAGCCAATTGACTAGACATTACTCAGGGTGGTCTAACAGTTCACAATTAGGCGGGTGTTAATGGAAGGCGTTGAAGTGCTTTAAACACAATTCGAATTTTATTTAGTTTGTTGCTGTTTCGGCAAAGATATGCAAATCGAATAGGAAATCGGGGCAGCGGCAGAGGCGAGTGTCAACAGTTTTGATTAGAGTGTCTAAAGACATTTTGATACACAATAGAATATATCAAATATTGCCAAGACAAAACTGGTTCGCTTGAATGTATCACAGTATCAGCAAAAGCAAAACAAATAAATAAAAAATAAAAATAGCATTATTATTTAACTGAAGACTATTAGTTAACAATGAGAAATCGCAATAGCGAAATAGGTGATATACAGAGCGAGAGAGAGCGAGAGAGAGGGGAAGGGATACGACACGCAAATACTCTGCATAAATAATATATTCATTATTTTTTGGGAATTTTTCTACTACAAACTAAGCTTATTTCTTTCTTAGAATTTAAAATTTACTAATGATCACATTAAAAATGAATAAAATAATGCGCATTGCATTTATTCGATTCTCTTAACACGCTGTCGAATGCTTAAACAAGGCATTAATATTCTGGTGAGCAATTTAAATAAAGTTGAATTGATAAAAAATATAAAAAATATATTGTTTACTAACAAGATTCATAGACGATATATATTTGAGCTTAATATTGAAAATACTTAAAGAATATTTTTGAATATGTACATATATAATTATAAATATGTAAATAAAATAGATATGTATATGTATAAACAATATTTCTTTTCAATATTCCTTGAAGAAATATAAAATTTTAACAAAAAAAATATATATATAAAATATACGACTTTTGTATATTTAAATATACAATTCATAATTTTTATTATGACTCCGAATTTAATCTAAGCGTCATTCATTCATTCTGCTTAATATTTATATAAAATAATCATATTATATTTTACATAATTAAAATTATGAGTTGTTTATCTATTAATAAATTAATTAATTGTTATATGTCAAACTTATCCAAGTAAGGCCCTATCAAATGGCGTATGATGTAAATACATCAACTTTCTAGACATCCTAATCGATATGCTGAGGCTCATCTCAATAATACTCACACATTTTCTGCTCAGCAAAGTGTATCAGAAATCTAAGAAGCTCGGCGAGCTCCGTTCATAACTCAGCATTGACACAGTATTTTGGACAGTTGGGAGTAGTCGAATGGCTTGCACAACCTTTTTTGCAGAGGCCTGTCCGAGTTTATGTAAGCGAGTGAAATGAATGCCATTTAGATAACATTTGGCTTGGCGTGGCTCACAATTCGAGTGCCTGGCCATATGCAATATGGCCGTAGATACTTAGAGACGTGTACTAACGCCAAATTTGGTGGATATTTTGTCAATATGTACAAACGGATTGCGGACTTTAGTTCAGTGCGGGCCCAGTGGATGTCGTGTTCAGGCAAAGTGCAATAATTCACACTCACTTTGGTGTGACCCATTGGGGTTGTGCTGGCTGCCACGCCAGCACGCCGCACGGTGTGGCATGCGAGCCATACAGATGCCGTGCTCAAATTATGCTTGAACCCCAAATGATTATGAAACTTTACATGCGCACGCTGCCACTTTGTATAGTTTATGTGTTGATAAAGCGGCGAGGCGTGTCGATCGAGAATTCCGCTTCGATTGTTCGAATAAAGTTATTAAATTCAATTTATGATTTCCATAATCAAGCGAAAAAGGAAAAA